ATGAAATTTCAATTGATAATAATGGAGATTAAGAATAATAAAATATTTTAAATAATTTTGATATTTAAAAAAATAAAACTTAAAAGTAAAAAGGTATTTTAATTATTATAATTAATATGTATATATTTAATTTTTGTAAAGATATTTTTAATTTATAAGATGATTATAAAGAAATAATAAACTTTTTAAATAATATTTCAGTAATAGAAAACACTGAATTATAAACAAATATATAATCAAATTAAAATTAAGAAAATCTTAAATAATTTAATTTTTATTAATAAAATTTCGAAAACTATATTTTAGATGATAACATTTATATTAAAACACATAAAGCAAATAATAAATGTATTTTTTATTTTTTTTATTTAATTAAAAAAAATAGGTAAATAAAACAAATGTAAAAATTGTATAAACGCTTAAAATAACAAAAATAATTTCATTTTAAACTTTATAGAAAAAAATGATAAATAATAAAAGAATATAAAAAAAAATAAAGATAAACCAGACATATAATTAATAATTAATAAAAAAAAAAACTATTTAAATGATTATCTTTTTTATTAAACTGATATAGAAATAAATACTAAATAAGCAATATTTATTCTAGATCCGGATATGATAAAATAAATAAAACTAATTTTCGAAATGATATGTTTATTTAAATAAATATAAACTGATAATTTTATTTTATATATGAAATAGTCATGCTTTTGGCCTGATTTGTATTAAGGTTTTTATTATATAATATTAATATATTTATTTAATTATAAGAATCTGATGAATAATAATAAAATAATAGACCAAATTTATATCAATTAAATTAAAAAAAAACTAATGAAATAATAAATAATTAATAATTAGTTTTATACACAGAAGGAATGACTTTTATATTTATACATAATTAAGTAAATATTAAAAAATAAAAATACATATAATATTATTTTTTTTATAAATAGGATTATTTATATTTAATCAATTTTGATAAATTTTATTTAGAAATATTTAATTAAAAAGACTAAATAAATTCTTTTTTTTGTTTAGAAAATTTATGCTTTTCTGAAATTCATGAAAAAAAAGGCATTCATTCTTAAATTTTAGATAACTTTGGCAATTAGAAAAATAATTAGAAAAACTCTTTAAAAGGAGAGTTTATAAAGTTTAAGAAAAAAAAAGCACAAAGTATAAAAGATTATTTATATTTAGGAATAAAACTAGATAATATACAATATAATTTTTTTAAAAGAAGTACTTATGAGTTATAACTTTATTTAAGATAATATCTTTTAGAATCTTTTTAAAATTAGATTAAAAAAAAGATATATAAGAAATAATATAAAATTATGAAAAATTTATAAATAATTATGAAAATAATGATAAAAGATATATAAATAGCCCGAAAACATAAAATTAAGGTAATTAAAAAAAAGAAAAATATATAATAGAAAATAATAAATTTTTTGAAAAAAAAATATAATAAAGAAAAATATTAAAAATAAAATAGTAATTAAAAATAAATAAAAATAAATAATAATAATAATAATAATAATAATAATAATAATAATAATATGAATGTCCTATAAAAATTGAGATTTTAATTTAAAATTCAAGAGTTTAAGTATATAGAAATTCTTTATCTTAAGAAAGACTTTTTATAGATTTTAAATAATTAAAAATATGGACTACTGGTATATTATTTTTCTAAATAATTTATAAATATTTAATAAAAAATAATATAAAAGGATTACGTGATGTTGATTTTGGAAATTTATTTAAATTAGGAAAATTGAAAAAAGAAATAGATGAAAATGAATTCGATGAATTTTATGATGTTTATAGTAATCAATAAATTTTTAATTATAATTAAAAATTGTAAAAATAATAATTTAATGATAGTGATTATTTTTAATCTTTAAAAGATTAAATTAGTATTTTTAGTAATTAAAAAAGTAGAAGTAGATATACACGTGAAATATCCTCTACTTCTGAAAATTCACAAGAACTTGAGATAGATTCAGATTCTTTTATAAAAATTTAGGTTTAAGAATTTACTATTTATTCTTAAAATAGTGAAAAAGAAAAATAAAGTTATTTCATTTAATCTAGTAAGAATACAAAAGAAATAAATATAAATATTGTTTATGATGATCAAAAATTTAAAATTGAAAATAAGGATATAAATAAAAAAAATGATAATCCTATTAAAAGTAATATTTTTAAATATTTTTAAGAAGTTTATATATTTCAATTTTTTTAAGTTAAAGTTTATTTTTATAATTTAAAAATTTAAATGTAAGATAATGATTATAAAATTATTTGTAAACTTTTTTAAGAAAATTTAGGTGAATAACCATTAGTTGTTATACCTAAAAATTATGTTTATTAAAGCAGTGAAGAAGTAAAATTTTATACATAAAGATAAAATTAAAAAATAATAATTAAAAAAAATAAAAATATAAATATATATATTTATATATTTATATATTTATATATTTATATATTACTTTTTAAATTTTTTTATAAAGTGTTGGTGTTATGTTTTTATTAGCTTAATTTCTGCAGATATGAGAATTTATTAAATAGTTTGGGATGAAAATGGGTATTAAAAAGAAAAAAATTTTACTTAATTTTTTTTATCAGGTATTTATACAATAATATTTATATTAAATTTATTTATATTTTTAATATACAATAGATGTTATTTTTAAATTATTCATTTTATAATATGGAGGAAATATTTAAAAATTATGGATTAGTTCTATAAATATGGACGATATAAGGGAAGATTCTTTATTAAAAAATAAATAAATTATAAATGATAATAATTTTTAAGAATTTTTCATGTAAGAAGATTATTCAACATGTTATATAAATAATGGTTTTGATGAAAATATGAAAGATACTAACGTTAAAAATGATTTTTTTTCATAAAGTGAAATCAATATAGATGAATAATTTGATATATAAGAAATAATAATATATAATAATAATAATAATAATAAAAATAATAAAAATAATAATAATAAAAATAAAAATTAAAAAAAAATAAAAAATAATTGATTAAATTAAAATAAGAAAGAACTATTTCGGTATTTTTTGTTTTGTTTTTTTTTTTGTTAAATAATTATTTATTAGATATAAAATACAAAAATTGGATTTTTCAGTAAATTCTTTAATTTTTTCAAAAATATTTGTATAAAACGAAAATAATAAAAAAAATCTTGTAATATTAATTAAGAAGATTAATACAATATTTCAAACTCTAAAAAATAAAAAGTTTAAATTTAAAAAACTATATATACAGAGCAAAAATCTATTAATAGTTCTAATAAAATGATAAAAAGTTTAAAAAATAATGAATTATAAGTATTTTTTTTATTGTAAAAATATATGAAAATATATTTAGGTTAGTATAAAATAGTCATAAAAATAATAATTAAAATAAAATAAAACGTTTGCTTAAGACATAGTAGATATTTGGTAAACAGATAAATATCTAGAAAGAAAACCTTTAATATATAAATTATAAGAAATCTTAAAATCAACTATAAGGAATAATTAAAGTGATTATAATAATTTATAAGGAGGTTATTTAAATTATAAAATAAAAATTAATAAATATATATATATATATATATAATTTTATATATATATATTTATTTATTAGAATATGAATAAATTTTCTTAAATAAAACAAAATGCGATTTTAAGTACATTTTTAGATCAAGACCTGATGGAGAAAAGTTAATAAAAATGAATTTTGAGAATAAATAAATTTTATTAGTAGTAGATTTGATTACAGATTTAGTTTCTTTTTTTAGAAAACCGTTTGATGGTTCTGATAATTAACCTTTTTTAAATAACCTTTATTTTTTAATAATTTTCCATAATTTATTATTGAATTAAAAATTTAAAATCTTATTTTATTTACATAGGCGGATGATCAAGAAGAAAAAATTAATTTAAATCCAGAAAAATAAAAAAAATAGAATATTTTGGGAGTTAATTAGTATAATATGTCGAATTTTTACTAAAAATAAAATTAAAGTTTCAATTAATAGAATACCAATACTCTTGCTTTTTTAATAGATATTAAATATTTACACAAATGGAAGGGAGATAGCTATTAAGGGCCCGGAAATGTGAAGATTAATGTGGAATGTGAAGTAAAAAAGACTATTTTAATTGAATAAATAAAGGAAAAAAAAGTTTAGAAGAAACAAGTAATAGAAAGAAAGTCTACTTTTTATAATAATATTCTTAATTAGGTAAAATTAGTAAATAATTAAAATAACAATAATAATAATGAAGAAAGTAAAGAATATTCTGATTTAAATAATTCTCAAAGTCCTAATTTTTTTTTACTTTTTAAAAATATTAAATTTTTGTTCAAAAGTAATTATGAAATAAATTTTTATAGGAACAATAAAAAAAGCTAAAAAAATAAACAAATAAAATAGTATTATAGTTTTAATCTTTTAAACAACAAAAGGTATAAATATACATATATATATATATATATATATATGAATATATATATATATATACATATATATAGATATATATAAATATATATACATATATATACATATATATAGATATATATACATATAAATTCATATATATACATATTTATATATATATATATATACATATATTTATATATTAAATTTAAATGTGTATTTATAAATTATTTGCTAAAATATTAACAGAAATAGAAACGAACATTAGCTTTCTTTAAGTACACTATTAAAAGCTTTTAATATGTTAAAAAAAGTGCCAAAAAGTACCTGTATGTCTCAGAGTTAATTATATATTGTGAAAAAGACCATTTAGGAAGATAATATTATTTAAATCATGAATATTAAAGTAGACAAAAGTTGTTTGGAAATATATAAAAACAATTATGGAATAAAAAGCTTTGAAATAAAATTAAATCATTTATTGTCTAAAAGTATATCTAAAAGTTAAAGCGGGAATAAAATTTTTATTTTAAAAAGTTGTTTAGAAATAAACTATTTTAATAAAAGAAAAATCACTTATGAACCGTTTTTGGAACCTTGGAAATTTTATATTAAATAAGAAAGAATCGGAAGTCTTTAAAATTTTCATTTAGGTAATTACGAATCAAAAAATGACCTAAAAATGTTGCCTGTATTAAAAGAACATCATAATTCTTTTAATATTAATTGCTCTTTATAGTTTTTAGAATAGATAATGGAAATGTATAAGAAAATTTAATAAAAAGAAGGGGTAGATGATGAAGAACCTTACTTTATTATAAATAAAAGTGGGTTAGTTTTAGAAGTAAAAGACTTTAATAGGGAAAACTCACTTCCTTTGGAAATAAAAGACGGATAGAAAAAGAAATGGATGGGGTGGGAGGAAATATATGGATTAAAGAAATAAAAATAAAGGGATATGAATAAGTAAAATGATAACTAAGCCCTTGTTAATTTAAATTTTTTATAAAATGAAAATGAATAGAACTTTGTTTTATTTAATAATTAATAATAATAGGAATCACAATAATTGGAAAAAAAATTAGAAGAAAATAACGAAATTTTAAACGGTTTAGAATTTTCGGAAAATAATTAAATTAAAAAAAAATAGGGTTTATATAGTAAGAAAATTTCGATTTAGACTAAAAAAAATACATAGACAAATTCAAATTTAAACACTATGAAAAATATTGTAGTACATAAATAATAAGTAAGCAATAATTTAATACTTTAGAGTGTTTTTAAACATGGAACAATCAGTAAAACGTATTTATATAGGTAAGTTAATAGGGTATCTTTAGATCATATAGGGAAAATACTAATTGGGTTGAAATTGGATAAAAATAAAGCCTCATTGAAAGCTAATTAACTATAATAGTAGAAATTTAGAGAAATTAAGCTATTAGAAAACCGTAAGTAGTCGTTAGTTAGTACTAGAGTGCAGAAAAAAGACCTTAATATTATGAGGCTATTATAAAATAATATATTATAATGGACTGAGAATATAAATAAATTCGGGTAGGATATCATAAAGTCGATTATAAACAAAAAAGTAAATGAAGAAGGGAATACTTATTTACTTATAGATAATAGATTAAATCCATAAACTGGTTCAAAGGAAATAACAATATCTTCAGGCGTAAAATTTTATAATAATATGAATATTTAGGTTATTTTGGAGTTAATAAATAAAGAAAATGACAAAAAATAAATAGAAAAAATCAGACCTTTTTGTTTTTTTGAAGTTCCTCTGGAATTTCTAGATGGAAATTCACAAATTAGACTATACCCGAAAAGTGAAGATTTTGATGAAAATTTACTGTAGAGATTTTACGATTATGTGTATTTAGACTTCCTTATTAAAGATAATACTTCTTATAAAGATTATGATGTAGACTAGGACGATGTTTTTTCGGAAATTTTAAATGATTAATAGAATTAAAATTTAGAAAAGGGAAATAATAGACTCGTTTATAAATATGATTTTGAAGTTTTTTCGAAAAATAAAGAGGAAAATAACACTTGTTTTGTCATTACTTGTGTCAAAACAAGACATTAGGTAGCTTATAATCTATAGAAGGAAATCGCGTATGAAACTACTCTTATTTTAAACCCACTTTTTAAGTTTTAGAATGCTACAACTACTAATATAGTACTTAAATATGGAACTTTTTAGAAAAATAAAGGCAGAAGTTTACATAATGAAAAAGTATAGATAGTTGATTTTAATATGAGGAATTTCGAATGTACATAGTTTCAATATTCGGAAGATGTGTTTATAGGATTTTAGTTTTAAAAGTATGTATAATAAGGGGAAACTAAGGTTTTTGCAAAAAAAGAACAAAAATATAAAATTGATATCAAATTAATTAATTTAGATAACAAATCGAATATCATATTTTATTTAGATGTGGTTAAATTGAGTCAGAAGAGTAGATAATTTATACTTTATTGTCCTTTTTTGATTCTGAATAATACGTTTTTGACAGATATGAGTTTTAGAGAATTTGGGCTTACTACTAATATAGAAAGCCACGCGGAACATTAAAATGAAATATTGTCTTGTATGAGTAAAAGATTAAATACCTTATAATAATAATAATAATGGGAGATATCAAAAAATTAGTCGAATTCTTCCATTTAATAGAAAGGTGATAGTTATGATATTTAACTTTTATAAAGTCCACATAATTTGAGGAAGATGGTTATGTTTTCGACTTCGAAGAATATGAACAAAATTTAAATTGGGGTCAAGGTTGAAAATTAAGAAGGGTAATAGGCTTGGAGCTAACCGATTTCTTTGAAAAGTACTGAGTGTGTTTTTTAGGTTAAAATTCCAAATAAAGAAAAAAAAAATAAAACTATGTATGATTTTTCGTTGAAAATTTAAAATATGACGGGGTTTATGAGTAGGTCGAAGATAATTATTATTAATTCCAGGTTTATTTTGAAAAATCTTTCATCTTATGAATTGTTGGTTAAATAGGTAGATGTTTCTTGCTAACCTTTTTATTTAAGTTCATATGATGATAATAATAAAAGTAATAATAATAATAATAATAATAATAATAATAATAATAATAATAATAATAATAATATTTATAATTATTATTATAATAATAATAAGAATCTCGATAATATTAAAAATAATGCTAATGTAAATAAAAAAAAGTAGAATGATTAAATTAAGTAGGTTTAAGAGTTCTTTTGGTAGGATTCCAAGGGAAAGTAGGAAGCCGTGGTTAGTTTTGTTAAATAAAGTTAGTTTCTGTATGGTTTTGAAATACCAGATTAATAAGAAATCAGAAAAAGTTTAAGGAAACCCCTTTAATGGTCAAATAGTTTTAAAATAGATAAAGTATACATATATATTAAAAAAATAATAAAAGTTATATAAAATATATACTTTTTCTGTTATATATATATAGGTAAGTGATTTTGCTATAAAGGTGTTAAAATAATAAAGTCAAAATATATAAGATTGGGATTATGAGTATTTGAAGGTGAATATTTCTTTATAAGAAAATATATTAATAGTAACATTTTAGAATGAAGATTTATAAAACCCTCCTTATTTCATTGAAAATAGAACGAAACATGAGATTTATGTGGGTTAATAATTACAATAAAAAAAGAGTTTTTTTCGATGTATTAAAAGAAAAAGTAGTTAATATAAATAAACTTAAATGACTTAGGTTCTACCGGGATAAAGAATTAGATTTACTTGGGATTATTAGGTTGTCCTTTAGCATATTTTAGGGGTCGAAATTGACAATGAAAAAGCTTATTATAATATTGATAAAATATAAGAATATTAACCTATTAAAATTAAAGGATAATTGGATGAAAATTAAAAAAAAGTAAATAAAAATTTCTCTATTATTTTGTATTTTTATAAATATATAGAAAAATATCAACAAAAAATACCTTTACAAAAAAGGAAATATTCAAATAGCCTCTAAAGTTACAGATTATCATGAAAACAAATTTATAATATTGGATGTATATAAATAAAAGATTAAAATTTATGATGAAAAAAGAGAGAAAAAAATCGAAGTTTTAAACTTGAAAGTAAAATTTTTGGACATATATAAAACATTAATTATTTATAAATAGAAATCAACAATTGAAGAAACTAAAGATAATTAGTTTGTAATAAATAAAGCTGGAAAAGTGCATTATAGTTGTAAAACTTAAAATGTAAAAGAAACAAAAGAATGGATAGAATATTTATGGAGAGCAATATTATTAACTACACCTGATATGGTTTAATTTAAAATTGAGTTAATGTAACATACTAAGGTTCTGTGTTTTTATTCTATAAAATAGGAAGAATAAAGTAAATAGGGAGAAAATGATTATTTAAACACTTATAATAATAATAATAATACAGATAAAATCATTAATAATTATGATCTATAAGGTAAAAGTGATAAAGTTTAAACTGTATATAGTATTTAAATTACTAATATATTGGGAATCTCTTTTATTGATAATACTCCTAAAGAGATTTTACATATTTCTTTTAAAAATCTAGGATTAGTTTATTCTCTAAATGACGAAATTAATATTTAAAATAATATTGGATAAAAGATACTCGAAGATGAAGTAAGTATACAAAATATGCCTAATACAATAAATTAAACATAATAATTAGTAATTCATAATCGTAGTAATATGTAAAGTAATATAAGTTATGTATAAAATAATTAAAAGGGAGTAATAATATTATAAATGGACTCAATAATAATAAATAATTAGATCGAAAATACTCAATTCCCTGTACTTTTGGCCCCCATGAAAAGGAAAAAAACTTGCGGTGATCCATTTTTGATTTTTACGATTTTATTCAGAAATAGTATTTAATAAATTTCTCATATAAATCAAATGAACTTTTATTTAGAAACAATCGAAATACGAATTGATGACCATATTTTAGATTGTGTAATTACATATTTTAATTAAGTTAAGAGAATTTTTACTCTAGAAAATAATATAAATGAGGATTTATTACCTTAGTAGTTTTCAGTTGGGTTTCTGAATTTAAAAAAAAGAGTACTTTAAGGAATATAATAAAAATAATAAGGGGAAAATATAAAATATATAAAAAATTTAAGAGTAGAACCGATTGATATTTGCTTTACTTTTAGAAGTTCTCCAGGACATTCCCTTACAGCTTCTACAAAAAATATCATTTCTGATTTTGGGTTAACTTTGGCTAGTTTAGATTAGGCTAAAATAAAATTATCTTTATTGTCCTTAACTCATATTTTTTGTACAATTACGGAAGTTTTTACTCATGTAAGTAAACATTTTTCATAACAGTTTATGAGGTAATTGTATAAATTACTGGGCAGTTTTGATCTTTTGGGAAACCCAGTTTCTTTAATTGAAAATTTGGGGATTAGTATGGTCGATATGTTCTATTAGCCATTTTATTTACTTACAAAAAGTAAAAGTGGGTATAAATTTGGAGAACAATTCGCTATAGGAGCCGTCAAGTTGATTTCTAGTAGTATTTCGGGAGTATATAAGACATTAAATAAAATTATAGGGACTGTAATGAAACTTTTAAGCTCAGTAACTCTACATAAGTAGTTTATTTAAAGTAGATAAATGAGGGTAAATAGGACATTAAAAAATTTCAAAGAAGGAATTATTATAGGATTAAAAAATTTCTTTATCGATATATGGGAAACATTCACTGGGATTATTTTAAGTCCAATAAATGAGGCTCGAGAGGGAGGTTTTTTTGGGTTTTTTAAAGGAGTTTATTAAGGGTTAGTATGTATTTTTATTAGACCTACAATTGCTATATATGATTTAATAACTACAATAATAGAAGGACTGAAAAATACGGCTTAGTACGAAGAACATATAATGGATAGGAGAAGTAGGCCTATAAGACAGTTTGGGGAAAATTAAAAATTGATAGCATATGACTTTAAAACGGCAATAGGAATAGATATTATAAATAGATATAAATTAAAGGCTTATGAGCATGAGAAAATTATTTATTTTGATGAATTATCAATTGGGTAAATGGGAAAAAAAAAAGTAGAGGCATAAATTATTATTTCGGATATTAGAATACTTTATGTAAAAAAACATAACTCGATTACATATAAAAATATAATGTTGCACAAAATTAAAAAGGTGGAATATTAAAATAATTAAATGATGTTATATATTCATTTACATATACCTTAAAAATCATGGCTAAGGTAAATTTATTAAATTAAATTAAAATATGAAAGTAAAGAGAAAGCTGATTAATTGAAATTTGTATTGTTTAAATATTAATAAAACAAATGTATCCCATATTTTGAAATAGTTAATAATTGAATATAAATATGTATGGATATATATAAAAATATAAAAATAATTATATATTATATATTTATAAATATATAAAATATATATATTTATTTATTTATTTTATTTATATATATACATACATATATAAATTTATTTTATTTTTCTCATTGTCTATTTATATTATTTTAAAAATCATGCCTAAATTTGTGTGAAATTTAATTTGCTGATTTTAATAATTCTTTATTATACTGTAATTCTTTTATATTCATTTTTTCTTCTAAATATTTTTATTCGCCTTCTTTTATTTATTTTAATACCATACTTTGGTTTTTTTTACATTTGTTTTAATAATCTTTTAATTATTCTTTTTATGTTTTTATTTCTTTTTGGTTTTCTTAATCCCAATATAAAGATTATTTTTTGTCTATTTTTACTTCTTCAATTTATTTTATGATATTTTCCTACATTTATTTTTCTAAATAACTCTTTAGTTCTTACTTTTATTAATTTATTTTTAATGATTTAATGGTTTCTTCTTCTTTTAGGATTCTCTATGCCTCTTTTATACCTTAAAGTATTTTAAGTTCTTCTTATTTTTAAATTTATTTTTAATCTGAAAGAACTACTGATTCATATCTTTGTGAAATTTATTAAATTTTATCAAGTATTTTTTTTTTTTAATTCTCTTTCTTATTCTTATTTTTAAAGTTTTTCTAAATATAATTTTTAGAATACAACTTCTTGTTTTTTTCATTTTTGATATCCAACATAGTTTTTTCTTTATTTTTTAAACTAAAAACAATCGCTTATATTTAGTTTTATTTTTCGTTTTGTTTTTTTATTTTAAAAAGGCTTATTCCTTTTATAAATCTTCTTTTAATTTTTATAAAAATTAGTCTTAAAAATCCCTTTCTTTTTAGTTTTCAATTTCTATTCTTTTTTTTATGTTTTCTTTTTAAATTTCTCTCATTTATTTCTATTCAAAGTATTTTTTTTACTTTTCTTCTTTTTTTTATAATTCTTTTAATTTCTCTTTTTATAATATTTCTTTCTATTGTATATAGCTTTCTTACAATTCCATTATTAGTTTATATTTTTATTACTCTTTTTTAATTAATTAGCTATCTAATTGATCTTTTAATTTCTTTTTTTATATTTCCTTTTATATATATTCCTATTAAATCTCTTTTTTCTATTATTTTTAATTAAAGTTAACTAATTCGGCCCATTCGTTTTCTTCCCTTTTTGATAAATAATATAGACTATGATTTTTCTTGCTATTAAAACTCCTTTAAGAAATTTAAAGTGAGTGTTTTAGTTAATTATTTTATATTTATTATTATTATATGTTTTCGTTTTCCAAAGAAGTGCTGAAATATTAATTTTTTGATAATTTTTATAATCTTTCTTTTAATATTTTGAAATTTTTTTCATTCACTTCTTATGTATTAAATAAAAAATCGATTTCTGATTGAATATCTTGAATTAAATGTTACTTTTTGGGATTTGGAAGGTATTTTTCAGTAAATTTTTTTACTATTAGGTTTTTTAGAGAACGTCTTTATTAAATTGCTTATGTTGAATTAAATTTTTAATTACTAGTTTGTAAATTTTTAGGTATAATTAAATTAAGGGAATATTACATTTTTTTTAATATATATATATATATATATATATATATTTATATATATAATTTATTTTTAGAAAAGAATAAATTTTTATTTTTTTTGAAGTTATAAAAAATTAAAAGAATTTTTAATAAATATATATATTTATATATATTTAATTATTAATTTTTATTATCTATATATATATATTTATTTATATATATAGGTTTACATTAAAATCTTTTTGTTATTATATATATATTTTTTTTTTTTATATTAGATTTATTTGTTTTATATATATAAATTATTAATAGTTTATATATAAATATTTATTTATATATACATACAGTTTTACATTTAGATTTTTTTTTTTTTATATATATTTTTGTGTTTTTTTTATAATATATTTATTTGATTTTTTTATTTACAAATTTTGGTTTTTTTATTTTATATATATTTTTTTATTTATATATACTATTTTATTTTATAATATGTTATTTTGTATGTTTTTATTATTTGTTTATTTTTTTTTTTATAAATATATATTATTTTATATTTTTTAATATAATATATATATATATATTTATATATATATATATATATATTTAATATAATTTTCATTTTTTTTTATATATATATTTTTTTTTATTTTCTTTAATTTTATTATAAAAACTTTTAAGTACAATTTATATTTTTTTCTTAGATTTTTTTATTGTTGGATCTTCTTTTTTGTTAAAAAATAAATATATTAAAGGATATAAATAAAAAGATAACAATAAAATAAGTAATAGATCTTATCTTAATCACAAATAAATAGTTTTCATCTTTATTGTAACTTTAGTTATTTATAAAATATATGTTGTTTTATAAAATATAAATTGATAAATTTTTATTTAATTTGAGCATAATAATATTTTTTTTCTATTAAGTAAAAATAAAATAAAAAAGCAAAACAAATATAGAAAAATAAAATAAAATAAAAATATATGAGCAAGTTTTTTTTAGCTCCAAATAAATTAAAAAAAGAACAAAATGATGAAGAACATGAGAACTAATATTTTTTACTAGCACAAATAGAAAAATCAAATGAACTAATATAGCAATATAAAGATAATAATTTTAGTGCTGATAAACTAGTTTAGCACTTTTTTTAATTTTATAATTAAAGAGGAGTACATGATTATTTAATAAATAAATTATACAATTATAATGAATATTATTTAAATTTTTATATGACTTAAATATGGTACTACTATTTATTTATTATAAATAAATTACTATTTTTAATAACCATTTTATTTAAATAAAAACAGTTATTTATTAATTGTTAGAGGATCTCTTTCACTTGAAAAATTTCTTATTGATATTTGTTCGAAGAGTACAGAGTTATATTTATTAGTATTTTTATTATTATATATATATATATATATATATATATATATTTATTTATATATATATAATATAATTATTAACTTTTTAGATTGATTGGACTTTAGACGCCTATAGTGAAAAACTTAAAAATATACCAGAAGAATATAATAGGATATAAAAATTACGAAAAGTAAAAAATAGAATATTTATATGTATATATATATGTTATAATTAAGAGTGCTGAATAATCATATGCAAACGGTACCTATAATTAAAAATAATTGCCTAATGATCCTGAACAATATTAATGTTTTTTTAATTTTTTATTATATATTTGTCAAATATATTCAACATTTAATAGTATAAATCAAAATTAGAGATATTAGGACATTTTATAATACATAAATAAGCAAATTTATTTAAAATATGGTAAAAATATCATTAACTTTAAAAAAGCATCCTATAGAAAATCGAAAAAGTGTACTAAAAGATTACATGATAGTAGCAAATAAATGGTTACGTTAATTAAAGAATAAATAAAAGTAAAAAATTTAAATATAAATATATTTATTATATGTAAATATAAATATAAAAGAGGAAATAATTTATTTTAAGGAATATGTGTTCCTTTTAGAAAAGAAATGACATCCCAATTTAACTCAAATTTCGTATTTTTTAAAATAATAATTAAAATTTATTAAAAAATAAAATACATATAAATATAAAAATTAATAAATATATATTAAAAAATAAAGATTGTACGTATCATAGAAAACGAGTTTACGTGTTTTAATACAAAAATGAGAGTTCTTTATAGAGTTGTAGTAGAAACAGTGGAGTAAATATATATAAATATAAATATAAATATAAATATAATTATAAATATATAAATATATATATATATATATATATATATATATATATATATATATTATTTTATATATATAAATTATAATTAGTATTAAAGATTTTGATACTTTTAAAAAGAAAAAAAATGATACTAATGAATTAGATGAGACTCAAAGTAGTATTAATAATGATGATTTTGTAGTTGAAGAAGAAATAGATGATAATTTCGAATAGATATAGTAGAATACTAAGGAAGAAAAGATAAATAAATACCAAAATTTCGATAAATGGGCGAAATAATAGGAAGAAGAAGAAGAAAATATAAATAAAATAGTACAAGAGGTTAAAAAAGGTCTTACATTTAAATCTTTAATTAATAAAACTGAAAACTAGACCTCTATATAGAATTTTCACAACCTTTTTTTAAGAAAATAATCTAGTTTATAAATTTAAGAATAATTAATAAAACACGAGAAAAAGAAAATACATATATAATAAACAATTATAGACCCTTAAAGAAAGATAATATATGAAAATAACTTAAAAAGATTCAATATTTATTTCAAGCCTAAAAAAAGAAATACTAGAAGACATTCTGTATATAAAGAAATAAATATAGAGGAATAAAAGAGAGATATAAAATAAGAAAATAAAAAAAAGAGTGTAAAATTAAAAGACTTAAAAATAAAAGATGTACTCGAATTTTTCCATAAAATAATGAAAGAATTCCCTTCGAAAAAAAAACATATTTAAATGATTTATAGATATCTACATTATGATATTATTGAGTAGAAAATACTGACTAAAGCAGACGATAATATAGGGAAAAACCAAAAAATGAACACAGTAGAATTCCCGAGGAAATTTGGACCTTGGGAGGATATATGGGAAGATAAAATGGAGGTTATCAGGCAAAACTCGCCCTTTTCTCACTTTGAAAGTTACTAAATTAGATCTGTTATATTCAAAGGAGGGGACGATTTAAGGTAAGAGCTATTAGCTATGTAGTTAATATGTAAATTTTAAGCTATTTTTTAAAAAGCAGGTCTTCCTTTATGGTTAAGGCCTTATGAAATTATAGCAACTTCAGCAAGTTCAGGAATTTTGGAATTTTTACCAAATACACTTTCGATTGATGGGTTAAAAAAAAAAGTGGCAAATTTTACGAATTTAATGGATTTTTATTAAGAGTGTTTTGGAGAGGGATTTGAGAAAGCCTAAAAGAACTTTATTGATAGTCTAGCAGGGTATTCGGTTGTATGTTATTTATTGTAGTTTAAAGATAGGCATAATGGAAATATTTTAATTGATAATAAAGGTTATTTAATTCATATTGATTATGGGTTTATGTTCAGTATATCACCAGGTGGGATTAATTTTGAAAATGCACCATTTAAATTGACAAAAGTATTTTTATGTATTTATTTTATATAAAGATTTTATTAAAAGGAATATGTTTAACTTATGGGAGGAAAAAATTCGGATTTATTTAAATATTTTAAAAATATCGTTTTTATGGGATTCTAAGAATTGTAAAAATATGTAGATGAAATTGTCTTTTTAGTTGAAATTATGATGGAATAGTCGGATTTGCCGTGTTTTTACAAATTTGATATTGGTACTTTTAGGGAAAGATTTAAGGAAAATTTAGATTAGAAAGCTGTATATTTATTAAATAATTTTTTAACAAATATAAATATATATATATATAAATATTATTTTTATATATATATTTATTTTTTATTTATTTAGTTAATAGATTATTCAAATAAATTAGTGGAAGATAGTTATGATAATTGGAGAACTAAATAATATGATAATTTTTAGAAAATGACTAATGGAATTATGCCTTGAAAATTAATGACATTTTTTATTTTTTATAGATGATAAATATTTTTTATATATAAAAAATTAAACATGTTTTAAAATTTTTTTTATATATAAATATATATATTATAATTTTTTATATATATATATATATATATATATATTTATATATAATAAATATTTTATTATTTTTAATTATATTTTTTAAATAATTAATTTTTTAACTTATTTAACTTTCTATAAATAATAAATATATATTAAATTATTTTTTATTTCTTTATTTCATTTTTATTAATATTAATTCATATTTTAGATTAAAAAAAATGATTTGATATAAATTGATAAATTCAAAATTTTGTTTTTTTAAAAAAAACAAAAAATATTATACATTCATTAATAAAATATAATTAAAATTCCATAAAATAGTCTATTTAAATAAAAAAATGAAAAAAATTGAATGTAAAAAGTTATATTTTTATTTATATATTTATATATTCTTATTAATTCTATAATATAGTAAATTATTAAGATTTTAATATAAATGAAATTATAATGAAATAAATATAATATATAATAATATGTATTCGAAGGTAAAAATAAATAAATATAAGTAAAAATAAAATAAATAATATAAAAAAAAAGAAAAATATTAAATTAAATTATGAAATAATACAAAACACATTTACATATATTAAAAGTAATATGATATATAAAAAATATAAAACAATAATAAATAAGAAAGTATATAAAAGAAATTTTAACAAATAATATTCAATTAAAAATAAAAAAATACGAAAAAAATATTTAAACTTTGAAATAATAAATATAAAAAATTTAAATAAAAAAATTATAAATATATAAATTAATAAAAATAAAAGTATATAATATTAAATATAAATATAAAAAAATATAAATATATAAAGATATAAATATATATGGATATTATTTTAATTTTATATTAATTTTTTTATATATTTATATATTCAATTATTTATATTTATTTTTTATATAAAAATTTTTTTAGTAATTTTAATTAAATTATATTTCTTAAATATCTTTTATTGAAAATTGTATTTTTTATTATAAATTATTTTATAATTAAGTTTTTTTAATGTTTATATATTTTTATTTATTAGTATATCAATCATTTTTTTTGAAATATCAATTTTTTTATATTTTATAATTATTTTTGATATCAAAGATTATTTATTAATTTTTTTTTTTATGATTTTATTTCTTATAAATAAATTTATTCAGATTTATATAATAAATATGATATTATTATTTTTTTTTTACTTTTTTTTTTATATTTACAATATAATAAATTATATATAGTTCATATAAAACAGCATTAAATTAAAAAAAATATTATAATGATCGATGTAAAGAAGGTTAAAAAAATTCTATAAAACAATTATAATAATTATTATAAAAATAAAAAATAATTTATAAAAATGACATAATTTATAAATTCTATATTTTTATATTATAAAAAATAAATTTTAATTAAATAAAATAAATTAATTATAAAATAAAAATAAAAATATAATACTTTTTTATTTTAATTTATTTAAAAAAAAAAAATATATTAAAATTAATATATAATATAATAATATGATAATATAAAATAATATAATAATATAAACCAAATTAAAATAATATATAAAAATTATACTTTAATAATTTAATTATATAAATTTTTTATAAATATAATAAATGAAAAATAATATAATTATTTAATAATTATCTTTATATTAATAAAAATTCTATTTTTTTATCATAATATTGATTATAAAACTTATTTTTATTTATTGATTTAAATAATTTTTATGGTGTTTCAATTTTATAAAATTTATATATTTTTTTTTTAAACGAATACATTAATTTTTTACAATTTTTTTTATTAATTATAATTTTTATATTAAAAAAATTTTTTTTTAGTTTATATATATTTATATAAATTATACTATATATATTATTGTTTATATAAATATTAATTTATATTTATTATTTTAATAAAACTTAAAAAATGGAGGAATTTTAAATAGATAATAATGAAAAAAATAAGAATAAATAAAATAAAATATATAAGAATAATTTTAAACAATATAATTTAATTAAGAAGATTAATCTATAAAAATTCGCGATTAAACATTTTTAGAAATAATTCATGACTTCGGGTTTTTATATTTAAATATATATTTATATATATATATATATATATATATATATATATATATTTATATATAAAGTACAAATCTACTCTATAAATTATTAAATAATTCATCTAAATATTCTCCTTTTTAAAAGAATTAAGAAGTTTACTTTTAAGGTTAAAAACTTTCCACTGATGAAAAAGATCTTCTTTTAACTCGTCAAAACTTAATAGATATGTTTGAAAGTATTATTTGGATAACTTATAGAAGAAAATTCCCTCCTTTAAAAGCTCCCTAATATGAATATATTAGTGATACAGGATGGGGATGTATGATAAGAGTAGGATAGATGGCTTTAGCAGAAGGTTTAAAAAGATTTTAAATCAAAGAAGACGAAATAATCGACCTATTTTAGGATAAAAAAGACAGTTTATTTTCCATATAAAACATATGTGAAGCCGGAAAGGAAGAATTTAAGTTAGAAGCGGGAGATTGGTTTAATCCTATTAGAATTTGTTACATTTTATAGATTTTAAATGAAAAAAAAGGGTTTAAAGATCTAAAAATAAGGACTATTTCAAGCGATAGAATTCTGATTTTTGAAGATTTAGAGATGGAGTTTTCCTCTGAAAAGAATGGATTAATATTATTTTTAGTGTGTAAACTTGGTTTAGAGAAAACTGAAGAAAATTACTTAAAAATTGCTTTAAAGATATTCGATTATAAAAATTCTATAGGAATGATAGGAGGAAAACCGAAAAAAGCGTTATTTTTTGTCGGAAGAATTGAAGATTAATTGATATATTTAGACCCTCATTATGTTTAGGATTTTAATTAAAATAATGTGGATTAAAATAGTTATTTTTGTAAAAATTATGCTGTTTTAGATTAAAAAAAAATAGATTCGTCTATTGGTAATGTACTTTTTTTCGAAAATAAAGAAGAATTGAAAATGTTCTTTTAATTTTTAGATTAGTTAAAAGAAGAGTTTGTGTAAGATTTCTTTTTGGCAGTCGAAAAGGTAAAACCAGATTATTTAAAATAAGTTGAATATGAAAATGAACTCTATTCTAGTGATTTTGAAGTTTTATGAATTATATATATATATATATATATACATATATATTATTAATTAAATGTCGGTCTTATTTATTTTTTTAAGTAATTTATAATAAAAAACTACATTATAACAATATAGGTAATTATATATTTAAAAATATTATATATTTTGTTGAATATGCAAAAAAAAAAAAAACCAATAGTATATATATATATTATATTTATATTAATTTTTTATTTTTTTTGTATAATTAGGTATTTTATTTAAAAAACACAATATATATATAAAAAAAAAAATATGTATATGGCATTTATTTATTATAATTTAATTTTTTACGAAATAAAATAAAACACATAAAAAAATATATATAAAAATATTTTAAATTTGTTATTTTTTTTTTAATGATAAAACAAAAAAAAGTAAATTAATCATATTTTTAAAATTTATATTTTAAAAAAATATGTATATATATATATATATATATTTAATATTATATATATATATATATAATTTTCATATACAAATATATATTTATATATATATTTTTTATTTAATTTTTTATTTATTATTTTTTTAATATATCTATATTAATATTAATTATTATTGCAATTTTTTCGAACTTAATGTATTAAATTTATTTATTTTAATCTTCAATGAAATTTAATCTGAAACATAATTATATTTAACATTAATTTTTAATAAATCAATATTTATATCATTTTAATTAAACCTTTATATTGTTTTTTTTTTTTTACTAATATTATATTTAGAAATCTTCTAAATTAAATAATCCTTAAAATTAATTTTTTTTTAATTTAATTTTAGATTCATAAAGTAAATATTAGATTGTTTATTTACAATTTTTTTTATTGTATTTTATATCAAATTGTTTAATAAATATTATTATAATATTTTTTATAAAAGTTAAAGTTTAATGTTATTATACTAATAATATTTTAAACTTTTAAATATGAGAAAAATCTATGTAATTATGGTTATTATTATATAATACATTGTTTGAAAAGTTTAATTTTGTTTAAAATTTGTTTATTCATTTAATGTTATATTTTTAAATTTATATTAGTTTCATAATAAGTATATTAAAATATTGTTTTTAATTATATATAATTTTAAAATAAAAACTATCAAGTTTGTTTCTATTATTAAATATAATTTTAATTAATATTTTTAATTATAATTGTGAAAAAAATAATATATAATCTTCGCTTTATATTATATAATTCATAAAATAATAAATAATGAAAAATGTAAAATTAAATGATAAGAAATCGTTAAAATAAAAATCATTAAAAATATTAAATTAAAAATTTTAAATATAAAAAAAAATAATTAAATAGACTTAAAAAATAAATATAAAATGTTTAAATATATATATATATATATATATATATATATATTATTTTTTTTATAAATTACAATTTTTTTATATTTATGTTTTTTTTTATTATTATTAAAAATAAAAAATAATATACATATAATTATTCTAAAATAATTTTTTTGTTTTCATATTATAAATGTTGTTGCTTTATTGTAATTTGCAAGAAATTCTTTCGCATTTTCAGTTCCAATTATTCTTTCTAAAATAAAACTATCATACTTTGAAAAAAGTGATACTATTTGACCTTTCTCTGATATCTTTGATATTAAATTATCAAATACAAAGTTATTTTTTGGTAACGATAAAAATAAAATATTATCAATTTACTAAAATTAAACCGGATCATAAAAATGTTTCCTTTCAGTATATAAAATATATGGTAGTGTATTATTAAAAAATTAAGCTTTTCTACTTTATTCGTCTCGCTTTTTAGAATATTCACAAATACCAAATACTGGAGCATTTGCTTTTACAAAAAATGATTTTAATTTTACATATTCAAAATAAGAATTAACAAATATTATTGTTTTGTTTATATTATCTTAATTAAATTTAGGCCATATCTTTTTTGTGAAATAATCAAACCTTTTTTCTAAATCTTAGTTTGGACTCATTATATCTTCTAGTTTTATAAATTCTAATGCGTTTTTTTCTCATATTCTTTATCAAAATAGTACTGTTTTCTGACTACGCTTCCTATATAGTTTTGACAGTATTTTCTCGAAAATTATTTAGTTCAGGGAATTAAAACTCGCTAATAATTATAGTTTAACGATAAAATTTCGATAAGTTTTCTAAATATATACTATCAATGTCCTATAAATTATTCGTTGTTTATTTATGTTTAGGTATTTTATTAAGTAAAGGTAATATATCATACATATGTTACCAATTTTACATTAAAATAACATGAGCACGATCTACAATAAGTATTTCTAAACTACTTAAAAATGAAAAATCTGTATCTTTTGTACTAGTTTTATTTATAGATAGTTTTAATCCTAAAGGAGAAGCTATAATAATATCATCATTGGAAAAAGGAACAAAATATTTCAGTGAATTTTCTTTAATTTTTACTCCGATTCTGAAAACTTCTTCTCTTTATTTATCGTCATCAAAATATCCTTCTATAAGTCTTTTTTTAGTTGAATCTTGTTATTATTTAAAAGAAAACTGTTTTTCTAATAAATCTAATAAATAAGCAGCATCTCCCTTTATATTATTTATATAAACATTAATATTAATATTTATATATAAACCATTAATATTTATATATTATTATTAATATATTTTTATATTATTATTAATATATTTATATATTATTATTAATATATTTATATATTATTATTAATATTTTTATATATTTGTTTTTACTTTAAATGGTAATATAATTAAAATTCTTGATTTTGTAAATCCAGTGTGTTTTGGGTTATTTTTTAAATGATTTTTTATATGTTTGATATAATTTTCTCTTAATTATTAAACATTTTCTTCGTTTTGGTCTATAAAAATAGAATCGAAGTAATTTTCAATAAAAGAGTTTATAACTTGTAGTTAAAAAAGACCTTAAATTTAAGTAGTTTGTAAATTATTAGATTTGTTTTGGAGTGTCTGCTATGCAGAATAGTTTAAATTGTATTCTTCTTTGTTTTATATTGAATATGAGATTTTTTTTTAATTTTAATAGAAAGTATTTGGCTCGTAATTTTTTATTTCAATATTGTTATTTAGTGTATTTCTTATTGGATCTTATATATTTAAACTTTTAGTTTTGTTTTAGTTTTTATATGGGTTTATTATGTTTTCAGTTTAACCTAAATTAAATATTTCGCTCATTTTTTAACGCAGTTTTTCCTTTTCTGTTTGTTTATATGTTATTTGTTTTTCTTCTTCTTTTAAATATTCTGATTTTAATATTTCGGGCGATTTTTTTATATAATTAGGTGGATATTAGGTTATTTCTATGTTTATTTTATTAGGAAATTTTCTCAGTCTTTCGTAATTCTTTTTTTCGTTTTCATCTTCTCGAATAGTATTTTGATTTTTAGTTTAAAGAACTTCTATTTTTTATATATATATATGTATATATATTGTTTTTATATCTTTTTACTTTCTTAAAATTACTCAAATAATGTCTTTTAAGGTTGTTCTTCTTCTTATATGGAACAATAGTCGCTTTCTTCATTTGCTATTTAATCTTCGTTTTCGATTAATAATTGTTTATTTTTTGGAAATTTTAGATCTTTGTTTACTATATAATCTTTTTTTTAGATTTTTCTTTTTCTTTTTATTATACGATCTTCATCCAGTTTTTTATATTTTCTTTTACCCATTTTTTTATATTTTATTTAATTTTGTACTTTGTTAAGTTAATATTTTTTTTTTTTTTTTTAATTAATATATATTTTAATTTTTTTAATATTTTAATTAATAACTATATAATATATATTTTTTTATTTTCAATTATTAATATTATAATTTAATAATTTATTTATTATTTAATTCCTTTTATTTATATGATCCTCTTTTATAATTATATTATTGCTATTATAACTATTATTATTATTATTATTATTATTATTATTATTATTATTATTATTATTATTATATTTTATAACATTATTTACATTATATTTAATTATTTTGTTTTAATATATAATGTTCTTTTTTGCATTCTAAAAGGCAGAAATTGCACATTAATGAAATTTTAAAGCTTTTTTTCTTTTTATTTAAAAAAAAAATGCTTATTTTTTATATATTATATTTACATTTTATTCATTTAAACTTTATTTTTTATCATTTATAAATTCTTTAAATATATCAAGTAATATCTAAACGTTTTTTTTTCAAAATTTATATTTTCGAATAAATTTTCTAAACAATTTTTTTATTTTCTCCTTATAAATATTCCAAAAATGCAATTTATTAAAATTATTTAATTAATTTTGAATAATTTACATTCAAAAAACAGTAAAAAGTACTTTAATTTTACATATTTTTGATTAAATTTTAATTTTTTTCATTTTATTTCAATTAAAAAATCTTATCTATCCAAAAAAACCATAATTCCTGTTTAAAATATTATATATATTGTACTTTTTTTATTTTTTATAAAAAAAAGTAATTATATACATCATTTTCTTCATTTCTTTATATTTTTAATGATCTTAGTAACTTTAAACCCATATTAAATACATTTTAAGCTTTTTCTAAATTTTTAAGTAAAAAATCATTCAATATATTAACATAAACGTCTAAAACTTATACTAAATTACCCATTTTTAAATATAGAAAAGCCTAAGCTTCCCAAATATTTTCTTTTTTTAGAATTTTTAAGACTTATTATTAATCATATTGATATTTTTAAAGAAATTTAATGATTTTTTTCCTTTAAAATTTACAAGAAAGTTAAAAAAATATACTTTCAATTTAAAATAATTTTGAAGGGAATTTTTTGATGAAAATTTTGAGAATTTTAAATTGGAATTTTTAAAAAAATTAAGTTTTTTCAATTATTTTTTCAAAATGATTTTAATGTTAAATTTTTTCCTTTAAAAAAATTAAAGTTTTTTTAGAATTTATTTTATATAAAAATTCGATATTTTATGCGAAAATTTCCTGTATTTTTTATACGTTTTTTTCATCCAAAAAACAATCATTTAAATACTCAAAAACCTTCATTTTTTAGTTTAAACATCTCTCTTAATAACAAAAAACTTTAATTAAATCACAAAAATTACCGTTTTTGTAATATAAAAAGGCCTCAAGTTCCAAAAAAGGACTTTTTCCGCATATTTCTTATATTAAATTTTATATATCTTCTTTATATAAATCATCTTGTATATTTTTTAACATTTTTATGGCTTAATCTTATTTAAATTTTATTTATTATAGATAGTTTTGTTGAAAAAAAGCTATTTGGGGGTAATTTACTAATGCTTTTATGGCTAATATTGCTTATTTTTTATTAATTTGGATATCTTTTTCGTTTATATATATTAGAAATATATAAAAGAGGGGAGAAAAGTCGTATTTTTATATTTTTTAAAGAAAAAAATGTTTTAATTAATTTTAGTTTAAAATTTATTAAATTTTGTCATAAAATTATGTAGCAATACCTTTAAAAAATAAAATTAAAATTTCAAAAGTTAAATTTTCGTTTTTTTCGAAAAGAAAATTTAAATTTTCTTAATCTAAAAAAATCCATTAAATAATATCTAAAATAGTCTATATATATATATATATATATATATATATATATATATATATATATTTATTTTTAAGTACTTTTTCATATGTTGAAAAATCCATTTTTTTATTAGGAAAAATTAAACCGAATAAAGAAAATCTTAAATACCAGAAAATTTATAACTCTTTAAATATGTTTTAGGTTAAATTAAAGTTTTTTTTCATTATTTATAGAGGGGTTAGTGTATTATGTGGTTCGAAATTTGTTTATAAGTAAATTATAGGTGTTATTAGGTTATATTTGGTACATATTTCGGTTAATATATTGATATCTTATTTGTTTATTTCTATATTGGAAAGAAGTAGATATATAATTTTATCATTTTCTTAATAATATTTAATTATTTATTTAAGTGTTTTTTTGTAAGGAATTTATTTTAAAAATGATAATAATATATAAGGACGAAAAGACTCTAAAAAAATATTTTTGAGATTTTTTGTGATTTTAAATAATTCTTAAAAGGTAGAAAATATATATTAATAGTTATTTGAAAATATTAAATATTTTAAAATATTAGTTACTGTTAGTTAAGATATTTAATTTGTTTATATCATATATTTAGAAAATGCTTAAATTTATTGTTATAAAAAATTCTAATATATATAAATATAAATATAAATATAAATATAAATATAAATATAAATATAAATATATATATAAATATTAATATATATTTATATATATATAAATATTATATATTTATTTAATAATTATACTTATATCTATTCTTTTTTTATATTTTAATATTAAGGAAATTCATTATTATATATACTTAGACAAAATTCAAAAGCTTCATAGTTTTAATTAGAATCGAAATTTTATTATTTTTATATTTATTTTTTTATTATTTCTTTCCAATTTATTATATTTCCTTAAAATATTTCGTTATCATTATTTATTATATTAATCTTTATATAATAATCATTATATTTAATATATATATTTTACACAATTATCCTATAAAAAAACATAATTTTCATAATTTTTTATATTTTTTATATTTTTTTCATATTTAAGTTCTCCTATAGAATCACTTTACCAAAATATAGGAAAATGGTATCTTTCAGTATTAAAAAAATATGCTTTTTATTAAAATTTATTAATATCAACCAAAAAAATGCTCCATATATTATTTAAAACACATAATATATTTTCATTAATAAATCCACAATATATAATGTAATAATTAGGTTGTAAAAAAAAATATGACTTGCTTTTATTTACCAGTATTTCTTTTTAATTATTTAATTTAATATTATATTTTATACTAGTAATTTATTATCCTTCACCTATTACTATATATTTTTCGTTAAATTATACAGAAGGTAATATATTATTACAATATTTTATATCAATTGTCATAAATTTTATCGGTTTTTACTAATAATAATGAATAAAAAACTATATAAAATCTTAGAAAAATATAGCCTAAAATATAATATTTTAATATTTTTTTAAAAGGAAAAATTTCGAATGTAAAATTAAATTATTTTCATGTTAAAATAATGGAGTTATTTTTTTTCTAAAAAAATAAAATTTTCCTTTAAACTTCAACTTTTTCATTTCTAACTAAAAAACAAATATTTTCTACTTTTTAAAATTTTAAAAAAGACAATGAAAATAATTCTTTTCCTAAAAATTATTTTATTTTTACAATTGTATTCTTTTTTTTTAAACTAAAAATGCATATATAACCACTTTAATAACCAATTAATATATTTTCTTTAAAAATATCGATATGAGTTACTTTTCCGTTTTTATTTCTAGTTTTTCCAATTTCATGTATTTTTTCGAGTTTATCGAAAACTTATATATTACCGTTTTCATGACCTAAAATTAAAATATTTTTATTTTCTTATGAAATGTGAATTATCGATATATTGGTAAAAGAAAGTGTTTTAAATACTTATGATATATTAAACGTAGTTAAATATTAAAAATTAATAAATTTTTTATTTAAAAACAGTTATGGGTATTATATTTTTAAGTTTAAAAATTCTTCTTTTGACAATTTAATATTATTTATTTCATAGTCGTTTATTTATTCTAAAATAAATTCTTTTTACATTATATTTTTATTTTCTATTATAATAATAATAATTAAAAAAGAATAATTATTTTAAAAAAACATTATGTAGAATATTAATAATAATAATTGAATAAGTGTTTTATAATAATAATTGAAAAAAAATTAATTTTTTATAAATATACAAAAATATATGTATTAAAAAAAAATATATTAATATATGATACATATTATTTTCTTATTATATATATGTTAGATTAAATATGTGTAAAAAAAAAAAAGATAAATAAAAAATTATATATATATATATATATGTATATATATATATTTATATAAATATATATATATATATATTTATATATATAAGTTTTTTTATTTTAATTTATCATTATGTTTTTTTATGTTAGTATAATTTTTCTTAATTTTTTTAAATTTTTCTTTCTTATAGCATTTATGCTATCTATTAATGTGTTAATTTTAGTACATTATTTTTTTCATTATTTATCTACTCATCATATATAAATTATTATTATTATTATTATTAATATTATTATTATTATTAATATTATTATTTTAATTATTTTTATTAAATCTATTATTATTGCAATAATATGTTAAAATTTTTTTCTTAATTTAGATTTTATTAATTTTCAATAAAATTTACTTATTTTTTATTACTTTTTCTTTAATAAATAAATAAATATTATAGTATTTTACTTTTTATCGAAATCATTTTTTCCTTCAAATCCATTTAAAGAGCAGTTTTTTAAAATTCCTCCTGTTGCTTTTTTTCTTAATTTATTGTAAAAAGTATTTTATAAATTTATAAAATGATTATATTTTTTATATATACAAAATTTAATGATTTTAATTAATTTTATCAGAAACGGCTAATAAACTTTAAGCTGCTAATTAAATTTTCTATTAGTCATTTGGTTTAGTCAACGTAAAAATAATATCATCTATATTTTCTATATATTTATATATAAAATATGTACTAATATTTTTAATTACTTTTTATTTCAGAACTTTATGTATATAATTAATTTAATGTTAAATTATTATTTTCTATTTTCTTAAATAAATCTTATTAACTACCATTCTACATTATAATATTATTAGTTTAATTTTTTATTTAAAATTATTAAAGTTAAAATCTAAGATTTTCATTTATTTAAACCATTTCAAGATATTTTTCATCATTTTAATTTAATTAATTAGTGACATTATAAGCTATTTAATCACCTGTAATTTTTTATAATATATATATATATATATATATATATATATATATTTATATTTTTTTAAAATATATATATATATATATATTTTTGATTATTTTATTAATCTAATTTTTTTTTATATAAATAGACATATTATAATAAAAAAGAATTTAAATAGATTTTTTTTAAATAATATATTTTGTAATTTAATTAATTAATTAATAAAAATAATATTAAAAAAATATATATATATATATATACTAAAATATATATTATAAAATAGTTATTAATAATTTTAATTTTTATATATTTAATAAATTATACATATTTTACTTAATTTCCTGAATGATAATCATTATTATCAACTTAAACATGAATATTATGTTTTTTAATATATTTTAGTAATATTAAATATTTTTGGTTTATTTTTAAATAGTGAAATCTTATTCCTAATTATATAAATTATATAAAATTAATAATAAATATAATAATAAATATTAATATATTTAAATATAAATATATATATATATATATACATATATATATATATTTATATATATATATTTATTTTTATTTATATGTTAATATTTTTATTTTACTTTTATAATTTTATCATAAGCATCTAATTCATCTTAATATTATAGTATAGTTTCGTCTCTTTCATTTAGTTTTTAAGTTAAAGCTGTCATAATATCTCTTTATTTCAATAACAAATTATTATATTTTTCAATTTCTGCTTTTTCTGTTAATATTTATTGTCTTTCTTTTTCTAATTCTTATACTTTTTATTCGTATTCTTTTCTTATTTTTTTATGTTATTCTTCGAACATATTTTTTAATTCTTCATTAGCATCCATTTTCACTCCTCCCATTAAAACTTGACTCTAAAGAGTCTTAATTTACTATTCTAATTGCTTTTTAGCTTCTAATTCTTCGAAATATTCTTTTGATCTCTATTAATATGCCTGCATTACTATAAACTTATCCTATTCTGCTCTTTTTTTATCTTATTCAAGTTAAGAAATAATACTTTAATCTTATGTATGTTCATTTTTTATCTATAACTACTACCTAAGTTTGAATAATTCTTCCTCATATTTTCTTAAAAGGGCTCTCTAGTCCAAATCTTCATTAATTACTGGGCTATTTCTAATATTTTTAGCTCTATTAGCGAATTTTAATGTCGAAATCTATTCATATTTTTAAAAAAAAAAATTATAAAAAAAAATAAAATAAAATAAAAAAACTAAAAATAAAAAAAATCAACTAAACCGATTCACTAAAAGCATCAATAGACGGTGAAATAGTAGCCATCATAGTTGTTTTGCAATTTCCTCCTAAAGAGTCTTCCAAAAGCCGTGTAATTTTCGAATCTCTATATGGAATATGTCCTTTCCCCCTTAAATCTGTCAAAGCTGAAATAACATTACCCAAAGCAGATAAAGACTAGTTTATTTTCTTACATTCTTCCATTCTTTATCCAGTTGCACCTGAAATTCTAACTCTTTCAGAACCTGCCAAATCAACTAAATTAAGTTTTCCGATTTTCAATTTCTTAGGCTTGTTTTCCTCATCAGTATACATTTATTCAACTGTTATTATAAATACAGCATGAGATCGGCTAGAAATATCGTTTAATTTAGTACTAGCAGTAACTCTAGATATAGCACCTATTATATATATATATATATATATATATATAATATAATAAATATATATATATATATATATTAATATATATTTATATATATTATTATATATTTATATATATATATATGTTTGAATTTGTTAAAAAAAACCTCTTTTTATTAATGCATATATATCAAGAGGGGAACGTACTGCCCATTCACTAAGACCTTCTACGTATACACCTTTTTTTTTATCTTCACGAATTGTTAGGTTTTATCTTTCGTTTTTTAATAAATCTGATATGTTGTCATTGTATATTTAAAGGTAGCTTGCTCTTACCATGAATGTGGACTTATATGTATATATTTATATGCATGTATGGGGTTTTTTTTTGGTGTTACTTAGTTTTCTTAACAGTTTTATATGTAATTAAATATTTCGTCGACTGCACGAGGTATTATTCCTACGTTTGGGTGTTAATATTTATATGAAAATCCTTCCATTGTATATGTTTTTCCTGTACCTGTTTGTCCATATGCTATTATACAGGCGTTAAATCCCTTTTTTTTTTTTTTTTTCTTATTTAAATAATATAAATAGATACCTCTAAAGCTGATTAAACTGAATGTCTTGCAGTATTATTATAAACATCTTGTTAAGTACTATTTTAGTCATAAACATAATCAAATGAAAATTAATGTGGTTAATAATTTTCTGGATTTTATAAATAATTTGGCAATTATACGGGATTAACTAATTCAATATTATTATATTCATATATTATTATTTATTTATTATCAGGAGATATTTCAATCTATATATTTTATTTTTTTGGTGTTTTTATTTTTATAAAAAATAAATATTTAATACAGTAGATATAAAATGATCGTCTTATATTTCACGAGGTAAAGGTGGTCTACATCGAATTACTACTTTTAAATTTTCGTTTACTTAAAGAGTAACGTTTTTTTCTTTTAATTATTGTAAAGAAAATAAATTCTTTTTTTATATATTATAATTTTAATTTTAAGAATTTTTTTACATTAGTTTTATTTGGTTTCATTTAATTTTTTTTTTTTTTTAAAAAATAAAAATATTTATATATATTTTTTTAAATAATGTTATTTTTGTATTTTAGTATTGAAGAAAAAAATTATATTTATTATTTATAAAATTTTATTTTTTTAGAAATATTATTATTAAGATTTTATATTTTTATGATATTAATAATTTGAACGTATTTTTTTTTTTTAAATAAATAAATAAATAAATTAAATTAATTAATTTTTTTTTTTTTAAAAAAAAAAAAAAAGATTTAGGAATATAATAAATAAAATAAAAATCGTAAACATAAAATATTTACAAATTTTAATTAAATATTTGTATAATTTAAAAAAAAAAAAATATAAAAAAACATTAATAAAAAATATTTAATTTAATTTATTATTTATGATATAAAATTAATAATATAAAAAGTTTAATTTTTAAAGAAAAAACCTAAAAAGTTTTTAGAATTAACTTTATAAGATAATTTATTTTGATAAAATTCGCGTTAAATTAAAATATTTTTTACGTATAAGAAAATAAAATTATCCTTTAATTAATTTATTACATACATAAAATATAAACTATATAGGAATATATATATAAAAAAATATATATATAAATATATAATAGATATATAAATATATATTTAGATATATTAATATATATTTAGATATATATATAAATTTTTATATAAATACTTTTGTTTATAAAATAAAAACCCATAATATAAATTAAATATAAATTATAAATATTATAATAATACTTAAAATATATAAATGATATATATAAATTAAAAAAAAAAAAAATGATGATTAATTTTCTCTATATTCGCAGTAACCCCCCTACTAACTACCTATTAGGTATGCTGTAGGTTATAGCCGCGTCTGATTATTATATATATATATATATATTTTTATTTTTTTATTGTTTTTATGTTTATTTATATAATTAAAATTAAATTATATATATTTATTTAGTATTACGATTTCTTTTAAAAAATAAAAAAAAAAAATTATTATTTTTTTTTTTTAAAAAAAAAGAAATATTTAATATAAAATGAAATAATAATTATTTACTACTGCTTTTCCATTATTAAATTCATAAAAAAAAAGTATTTATTAAATATTTAAATATATATAAATATTTATTTATAAAAAAGATGTACATTATAGTTAATCACAAAGTCCATTTTAAAGAAGAAGCCTTAAAAATAAATAAATAAACTTAAACGTAAATTCAAACGTGTAAAAACTAGATAAAATAGATGAAAATACGAAATATAAATATATAAATAATTCTATTTCCCCAAAAAATAAAAAGATTAATTAAAGAAATACATAGTATGTTTAAATAGACTTCCAATAAATAAAGAAACAGAAAGAAATTATACAAAAAAATTGCTCAATTTTAAATTTAAAAAAATAAATACAATCACTTCCTATAATTCCTAATAATAACGAAAACTAAAATTTTAAAGTAATTTTTTTATATTTTTAATAAAAATAAAAATTTATAGTTCTATTTAGGACCAGGAAATAATTCAGAAAGAATCCGAAAATGCCTTTTAAAGCGAGGAATATGGACTGAAGTAAAAGATCCTTAAAACACATTTATAAATTTTAAATGGCAGTAGACTACTAGGGGATATAAATATGAAAAAATATAGGAAAATGGGAATATTTAAATGTTAAATCACTTCTAATATCATAAAGAGTTAACAAATAAGCAATATTTAGTTAAAAATATGATGGCTTTTGCGGAAAACCTTAAATACAATATATTTGATATTATTCCATTGACATATGTGATTGATTTTAATGACGAAAACTGCGATTTAATACTAAATAATTTTCTGAAATTCTTCGATATGAATATGCCTTAGAATCTAAAGAAAAAAATCAATAAAATAAATAGTATTTAGAGCTAAAAAGGAAAAATAAATAGTATTAAATGTCCTTAAATAGCGAAAAACTATTTAATTATTTCTATACAAGGTCTACTTTACATTAGACATTCATTGATAAAAGCTAAGGCAGTTATATGTGGCTTTTAAAGCCGACTTTTTTAAATAGAGGGAGGGGAATTCATGTATTTAATAGTCTAAATTAACTTGAGAAAATAATAAATGATTATTTGGAAGGTTTTGAGGAAAAAGCCTTGTCTTAAAATGATTAATAGAAAATTGTTTTAAAGGCTAATTCCTTTATTGTTTAGAAATATATAGAAAAACCTCTACTTATTAATAAAAGGAAATTCGATATAAGAGTCTGGGCACTTGTTAGTTAAAATTTGGATGTTTTTTTCTTTAAAGAAGGGTATGTGAGGCTTTCGAGTATTGAATTTGATGTTTTGGAAGAAAATATGAAGAATTTATTCATTCATCTTACTAATAATGCTATATAGAAACACTCGAGTAATTACGGAATGTATGAAGATGGTAATATGTGGAGTTTTAATTAGTTTTGGAAGTTTTTGGAAGAAAATGAGGGCAAAAATTAAGCGAAAAATAAAATTTTGTCTAAAATTAAAGATATTATATGGCTAAGTTTTTGCTCTATAAGGAGAAAATTAAATATAAATGATAGAAAATAATGCTTTGAAATTTTCGGGTTTGATTTTATTATTGATAATTAGTTAAATTCATGGCTTATTGAGATTAATACTAATCCTGCCATAGAAGAATGCTCGAGTATTTTATAGAGTTTAATTCCTAGACTAATAGGCACTTAATTATATATAGAAATATATATATATATGACTATAAATATATATATATATTTTTTATATATATATATATATTTATTTATTAATATATATATTTATTTAATTATATATATATTTATTTATTTATATATTTCTATTTTTAGATGATGCCTTAAAATTAACTGTTGATTAAATTTTTACCAAAAAGGAACATGATAATACATTAGTTGAAGAAAATGAATTTTATCATATAGATGGTTATGATGATAATGAAAATACGTGGGAGCTTTTGGGAAATTTAAAGGAATGTAATAATGCTTAGATAAAAAAAAGATTTTAATAACTTAAATAGAATTGATTTTATGTTCAAAAGATATATAACAAATATTTATTTATATATTAATTTTTTTTGTTAATAATTTTTTTTTTTTAAAAAAAAAAAAATTCATAACTTATTCTTTTTTTTTTTTTTTTTTTTTTTTCAAGATCAGATAGTTTGATTAAAAAAATATTTTTAAGATTTTTGTTATATATATATTATTTAATAGTTTTTATCTAAAAAAAAATAAAAAATGGTAAAAGTAACATTAAAATGGGGTACCTAATAAATAGAAGCTGAGTTAAATATAGAAGGAAATTTAGAAGAATTCCAAAAAAATATATATTAACTAACCTAAGTTCCACCATAAAGCTAAAAAATAATATATAAGGGAACATTATTTAAAGAAGGTATTAATTTTTCGAAATTAAAAATCGAAAATGGAGCTAAACTGACTTTAATGGGAGCACCTGAAGAAAGATAAATAAAAGAATTAGACCCATCAAAAATTAAGTAATTTATAGAAGAAATGACCCCTGAATAAATATAAAAAGCATATAAAATTAAGACTGGAGTATATAATATATATATATATATTAATTTATTTTAAAATAAAAAGTAAGTTTTACCTGTTGGATTAGCGAATTTAGGTAATACATGTTATATGAATAGTTCAATATAATGTTTAAGAAAAATAAACGAATTAAAAAATTTCATGTTATAAAAGAATCTACCATAAGTTTAGTCATTAGAAAGTAAATTGGGATATTCATTATAGAGTTTATTTAAAGAACTTGAAAAGGGATAAACAGTTTAACCTTTTAATTTTGTGTCTAATTTTATGAGTGTTTTTCCTTAGTTTGCTGAAAAAGCATAGGGAGGAGAATATAAATAATAAGATGCAGATGAGTGCTTTTAAAATATTGTTTAATGTTTAGAACCTTTGACTAATTATGAAGATGAATTGGGAAATAAAACTAATTTAATTAAAGATTTATTATAAATTGATTTCGAGGTTAAATATATTAATAATGATAATCCTGATGATTATTAAATAAAAACAGAAACTGCTAAAAAATTAATGTGTACAATTGATAATTAAAATAATCCTATAAACTAATTAACAGAAGGAATAAATATTGTAATATAAATATAAATAAAAAAATAAATATATTTATATATATATATATAATATATAAATATAAAATTTATAAATATATATATTATTATTTTTTTTATAGTCTTTATAAGAAACAGTTTAAAAAAATTCATAATTAGATAATTAAACACATTCTTTTTCTAAAATTACTAGAATTAAAAAATTAGTAAAAAAAAATATATAATGTATTATTAATATAAAAATTAGCCTAGTATTCTTTCTATTTAAATGGTTAGATTTTTCTGGAAATAAAAATCAGAAAGCTCAGGTACTGAAGCTACAAAATCTAAAATATTAAGAGTTTATTATATATATACATGTATATTTAATTTATATTCATATAAAGAATGTTGCTTTTCCAAGAGTATTAGATATATATCCATATTGTTGTGAAGAATTATAAAAAGTACTTGATAAAGGAAAGGAATATGAGAAAAATTAACTTGAAGCTAATTCAAAAATAGACAAATTTGAATAATATAAATAAAAACTAGAATAAGAAGGAAAAATGATTCCAGAAGATACTAAAACTCTTTTTAAATAATTTAAAGAGGAAAATGCCGAAGAAGAAATTAAAAAACATGATAATGATTTATATAGACAACATGGATAAGGACTTGAAACTGGAGCTTATGAATTAATTGCTGTTTTAACGCATCAAGGAAGAAGTGCAGATTCAGGACATTATGTTGCTTGGGTTCATTTATCTGGAGGTATATTACTACATAATAATTTAAAATTTTTATATTTTTATAAAGATACTTGGTGTTAGTATAATGATAATATTGTTACAGAACATAATATCAGCGAAATAATGGATTTAAGAGGAGGAGGAGATAGACACATGGCTTATTATTTAATTTATAGAAAATTAGAAGTTTTATGATAACTATTAATTATGTTTTTTATTTTAATAATTTTATATTTTATTTAAAAAAAATAAAATAAGAAAAAAAAAAAAAAAAATAATAGAATTTATAAAAAAATTAAATATATATATATAAAGATATAAATATAAATATATATATATATATATTTATATTTATATATGTAAAATTATTTTTATATATATATAAATTTAAGTTTTTATTTTTTTAATTTATTACATTTATTATTACTTATATATTTAATATAATAAATATTTTATATTTTAAAAATATATTTTATTTTATATATTTTTACATTAAATTATTATATTTCTACGATATATAATTTAAAATAATTATATCTTTTGGTCAAAAATATTTAAATATATGTGAAAATATTAATATATACCTATATATTTATTATTATATATACATACATATTTATTATAATTATAATATATATTTATAAATAAAAGTCAATATTTAGAAATAAATAAAAAATGGGTTGCTATTAAAGTAAAAATGTTATATATTAAGTTTCTGTTTCTGAACCTAGATAAGGTGAAACTGCTATATATAGATCTCCTAAAGCTTTAGAATAATTGTTATTATCTCCAGATGATAAATGCTTTACAATGTAAGATATTCTTTTATAATCTTTAAAATAATTCGGTCCTTTGCCTTTCTTAGGTACTATTGATAAATAAACATTTAATAAATATAACTGGAAGACATATAACTAAACAAAAGACATGATAGAAAAACTAGGAACTAATATAAATAGAAAAAAATTATACACTGTTGCTAATGATTTCGAAAATTTCAAAATGAATTTGGTAGGAATATTTTCAAAAAATAGAGAAGAATGGCTTGTTTTAGAATATGCTAATTGTTTATATAGAAAAACTATGGTGCCACTATATGATACATTAGGACCTGAATCTATTTAATATATTTTAGAGCAAACAGAACTAGAAAGTCTGTTTATTGATTAAGATGCAGTCGATTCTTTAATTAAAACTAATTAATTAGAAAATCTTAAAAATGTAATATTATTCGATGAAATATCTGAGGATAAAAACAAAAAACTATAAGAGAAAGGACTTACTATCATTAAATTTAAAGATTTACTTTAATTAGAAGGGGCTCCAGATTAATATGAAAAAGTTAGTCCAGATGATATTTTCACATTTTCATATACTTCAGGGACTACAGGATTCCCTAAAGGGGCTATGATCTCTCATAAAAATATAGTCTCAGTTATTGCTGTTTGCACAGAAGAAAAAATGGATACAAATGATGTTTATTATTCATATCTTCCACTTCCTCATGTATTTGAAAGATTATCTATATGTTATTTTTTATTCATAGGAGGCAGAATAGGATTTTATAGAGGTAATGTATATATATATATATATATATATATATATATATATATATATATATATATATATAATATATATATTTAAATATACATATAATAATTTAAATATATATATTTAATTATATTTTTTTAGGTGATGTCAAAAAACTTAAAGAAGATCTTGCAATCGTTAAACCCACTGTATTTGTGGCTGTACCAAGAGTTTTAAATAAATTTTTTGACGCTATAAATGCTTAGTTTAGTTAGGCTTAAGGACTAAAAGGGAAATTATTATAAAAAGCTTTATAGACAAAAATTTATTGGTCTAAAAATGGATATTATACTCATAAATTTTGGGATAAATTAATATTTAATAAAGTAAAAAATGGTAAATTATATATACATATATATATTCATACTTATATATATATTTATAGCCCTTGGAGGAAACGTTAAATTTTCATTATGTGGAGGAGCACCTATTAGTAGTGAAGTTTTAACTTTTTTAAGAGGAACTTTATGTATGCCTATAAACGAAGGATACGGATAAACTGAAGGTACAGGAGCTTAGTTTTCTACATATAAAGATGATGGAGAGACAGGACATGTAGGAGGTATTAGAGGACATTTGGAAATGAAGCTAATAGATATTCCTGAAATGCGATATACATCAAAAGATTTAGATTAAGATGGAAATCCATGCCCTAGAGGTGAAATATGTGTAAGAGGAAACTCTATTTTTTGTGGATATTATAAATAAAAAGATAAAGTACTTAATATTTAATTTATATATAAATATATTATAAATAGACTATGGAAGCTATAGATAAAGACGGATGGTTACATAGTGGGGATGTCGGAAGAATCAATTTTAAGACAAAAAGTTTAACAATTATAGATAGAAAGAAGAATATTTTCAAATTGTCATAAGGAGAATACATTGCTCCTGAAAAAATCGAAAATGTGTACTTGAGAGCTTAAGGAGTCGAAGAATGCTTCGTTTATGGAGATTCTTTATAATCTGTACTTATTGCTATTGTACATCCTACATTAGAATACTTGAAATAATTAGCAGATGAAAAAGGATATACTTATGATCCAGAATAATTATGTAAAAATAAGGAGATAATTAAAATCATTAAGGATAATATGATCTAATTAGGAAAATAAGAAGGACTTTTTGGCTTTGAATAGGCAAAAGGATTGTATTTATTCCATAAGTCTTTCAGTGAAATTAATTGTTTGACTAATACTATGAAACTCAAAAGAAAAGAATGTAAAGATTACTTTAAATAGTTTATTGATGAATTTTATGCAGAAGAAAATAAAAAATAATAAGAATAATAAAAATGATTATATTTTATATATTTATATTTATATATAAATTTAAGTATAATTGTTTTTCTTTTAAAATAGCTATTATTACTATTAATTAATAAAAATATATTTAATATATTTTACCACTAAAAAATAAACAAACAAAAAAAGGGGAGGAAATAATTTAATAAAATAAAATATATATATAATGGGAAATTGCTATAATCAATAGAATTTAAATGAATAAGAAATGAATATTTAAAATAATAAGAATATTAAATCTTATTTAAGTTATAAAGAATGGCAAGAAGAAAAATAAAAATAATATTTAGAAAGTAGATATGGTTCTCCTAAAAAACAAAAGTAAGATAAGAGTGTAATTTTATAAAAATAATAAAATTATGAAGATTATAGTTTTAATGAAAATAAGTAAATTTAAAATTAATAAATAAAAATAATTAAATTAAAAATGAAAGTAAAGAGCTTTTTAAAAGAAATAAATAATCTAATATTAAAAAAGATGAAAATGTTTAGATTTTAAATTATAAATCATCTCCTATTAATTAATAGGAAACAATAATAAAAGAAAATGAAGAAAATACTAAATAAATATTTAAAGAATAAAATATTCAATAGATAGCTAAAAAAATAAATTAAAATAGTAAAAAATAACAATAATAAATAAATGATTAAGAATATAATATATAATAAATATAAATGAAAAATAATGAATTAAAATAATAATTAATAAATTTTGATTTAATAGGATGTAACTTTAAATTTAAACATGAAAGAAATTAAAAACTAAAAGTGATTAATTGGCAAAAAGATGAAACAAATGAATTCTAAAATTAACGAAATGTATTAATTTTTGGAAGAGAAAATAATAATAAGGTTTAAAAAAATAATCAAGAAATTTAAAATATTAATCATTCTTATGATACTGTTTAATGTAAAAAAGAAAAAAAATAAAAGTGTATTTTTCAAGAAAATTCTAGTATTTTTTATTCTCCTTAAAGAGTATAATTAAATAAATCTTTTTCTTAATTTTAGACATCAGATAATAGTAGAAAATGAAAAACATATATAAATATAAATATATATATATGTATATATATATATATATATATATATGTATATACATATATCTTTATTTTTGTATTATATTTCTAATTATAATCACTCACACACATTTATTTTTATTATATATAATTATAAAAAAAAGTCATTCTTTATTTTCTTTAGCTTCTTTTTCAAAAATTACTTTACCATTAAGCAAATCAGTATAATAACTATCAAGTTTTTACTAAAGAATATCTAAAAGTTCATTTCTTTATATATTTTCTTCGCTTTTCAAATAAGTACACTTTATTTAAAATTTTATTTATATACATATTTTGTTATCATGTAATTATATTTTATATAATTTCTGTTAATTTTTTTTTTTTTTCTTTTTTTTTAAAAAAAAATACACAACTGAGAAAAGAAAAAAAATGGATTATAACCTTTTTTTTATCTTTTCTTTTGTAATATGTTTTTCGAAAAACAAAATTAAAAAAAAAAAAAAAATTATAAAAAGTAATACATATATATTTACTTTTAATTTAACAAATCCTCCTTTTAATTCCTCATCTCCAATCCATATCATAAATGGAATTTAATTTTCTAATGCATAACTAAGTTACTTTTATGGTTTAGGTTTTTCCGAATAAATAATTTCAGCTTTAAATTTCCTATCCCATAATTCATTTGTAAGTTTTAGTTTTTCTAAACATAAACCTTACCCAACTGTACATACCAAAACTTAAGTTTCTGTATTTCTAATAGCCTCCAATTTAGTGTATTATTCTTCTAATATATTCATAATTCTCTCAATACCGATAGAACCACCTACAGCCGGTATTTATTTATTAGAAAACATACCAATTAATTCATCATATCTACCTCCTCCTGCTATTGAACCTATTTAAGCCCCTTCCAAAACCGCCTCATATATAACGCCGGTATAATAATCTAATCCTCTAGCTAATGAAAGGTCAAAAACACAATAATGTAAGGCATTCATAGCTTATAAATACGAAAAAAGCATTCCCATTTCCTTTAAACCTTCTAGTCCTATTTTAGAGTCATTAAAAATGCCATCTTTTTCTATTTATTTTAATAACTCGAGTGGATTTCCAGTATATTTTACAAATTCGCCTAGTTTTTCTACTGATTTTTCTGGTATTCCTTTATCTTCAATTAACTCTCTTCTGACTTCTTTCCATTGCTCCTTATCTAGTTTATCTATAGAAGAGCATATTTACTTGAACTTCGAAACTGGAGCGCCTGATATTTAAATCATTGCATCAAGTAATTTCCTGGAGTTCACTTTAATCTTGAAATCAGCGCCTAATTTTAGACTAGAAAGGATCTCTCCGATCACTTTTAAGACTTCGGCGTCTGGTAACATAGGGTCATATACACCGGCGATGTCAAAGTCACACTAATAGAACTCTCTGTATCTACCTTTGGTCATATTGGGCTAGTCACGCCTGTATACCTTGGCTATATGAAACCTTTTAAAGTTTGTAATGGCTTGATTAGCCATATATCTGGCAAAGGGAACTGTCAAATCATATCTAAGGGATAGGAGTTCACCACCTTAGTCGTCTAGGTCGTATATTAGCTTGGAGTCGTTACCGTATTTACCTGTTAGGGTCTCTTTTAACTCAAAAACGGGGGTGTCGATTTCAACAGCACCGTGCTTTAGGAAAGTTTCTTGGATTATTTAAAAGGCTTTTCGTCTTATGGCCATTTGTAAAGGGGTGAAGTCACGAGTGCCTTTTGGGATTTTTGGTTTACGGTGTTCTTAGTTGTGAAGGGTTAATATTTCGTCAATTTTATGTAAAAATTCAGTGTTTTATGGAGAAAAATAGTCACGAGAGGACTCAAAGGAAGATGAGTTTGTTAAATCGAAAAGAGAGTTAATTTAAAAAAATATTTAGTCGGTACCTTTGCCCATTTAAAGCTTTTTTGTATCTTTTTTAGGCTTTTTATCGTCCTTTATAGGTACTTTGGATGGGTTAGAGTTTAGTTTTCGGTTAAGCTTTTCTAGAGATTGGATAGATATAAAGAATTCAGATTGGATTGTTGATAAGAAATTGTTTAAATGGGATTCGAATGATAATAAATATGAAATATTTTCACCAAATCGAGTTGTATTGGTATATTATTGGAATATGAGGCTTTTAAATAATTCTTGGTTTTGTTGTTTTTGTTGATTTAGATCGGATTTAAAAAGATCATCAAGATCAGAGAGAAGTTCTAGTCTTTTTTATGTATTTTAAACTTGTAAATTAAAAGAATTTAATATGTTTAAAAGTAAAGAATTTAAAGCAAAATATTATTTGATATCGTCATTATTTAATTACAAATTCTATTAATTTTCAGAAGTTTCTATTTATAATTAATCGTAAACAAAGTCAAGTAAAGTTCTAAAATAAAAATAAATTTATATATAAATATATATTTATATATAATTAAAATAAATATATATATATATATATATATATATATATATATATATCTATATAATTTATATATCTATATTTATTTAATTTTTACTATATATTATTTCTAGTTATAGCAATTAATTCTAACCCTTATATTACTTCTTATTAAGGTTTATTTTTAGATAGTTTAGAAGCAAATAAAAGATTAAACAATTCTGAAGATAATGTTGTTAAATTTCTTTGGATACTTCTTTTTTCACCTGCTACTTTTAAAATATTTTCTGTGTTTAAATAATTCATTTCACAATAAAATGCGAAAGACACTTGACTTAATTTAATTATGTTTCTATTTATATAAATATATTTTTTTATTTTTTTATACTATTTATTATGTGTTTTTTATATATTTACTTTGCTTTTTCTAAAGATATTATTAATAAAGCATATGTAAAATTATTTTAGATATTTGATAATATTAATTCATATTCAGCTTTGACAAGTTAATGTTATTATTAGTTTGTTTAAAATAATTATAAAATGTTAAAAGGATTATTATGAATATCATTTAATGTTTGGAATTCATTAAAAGTACTAATTAGAAAATCTATTATTGTACGACGTATTTATTTACGAAATTATACTAAATTAAATATTGTTATAAATAAAAAAGCTCGGCTAAATTACTTAGAATTTTAAATAGAGTATTTTTAAAGATTTTCAGATAATAATTAGGTTTTAACTTATATGAAGTTTTTTATATCATCTGATTACATGTTATGTTCTTTTGTACTATATAAAAAATCATTTAGAATTGACTGTTCAAGTTAAATTGTTTGGTTTTCGAATATAATTTCGTGTATTTCAGTTCTGTTTAAATTACAAAGTCCAATTATTTTTACCATATATTAAAATAATGTATTAAAAAGGAATTTTATTTTTAGTTAAATAATTTATTGTTTATAAAAATAAATATATATATATAAATAAATATAAGAATATATATATAATATATATATTTATATACATAAATTTATATATATATTTATAAATTATTTTATATATATATATTTATATTATATACTTACAAAAATATCTTTTTATTTGTTATATTTTTTATTTTTTTTAATTTTTTTTTTTGTGTGTTACATATAATTTTTTAAACACGTAATTTAATTAATATTTATTTATTATATCAGAGTTTTTATTATAAATATTAATTTATATTTATATAAATTATTTTTTTAAAATCTATTAAGAAATATTTTTTTTATGAAATTTATTAAAAATTATTAATATTTTTTTTAATTATAAATTTTATATATTTAAATATTAATTAAAATATTATCTTATTTTTTTTTTTATTTAAATAATATATATATATCGATATTTATAAATCAAATAAATACTAACTATATATAAATAATTTAATTTTTTTTATTTTTAATCTATATTTAAAATTTATATTAAAAATACATAATTCTTTTTTTTTATTTATAATTCAATAGTCTATTTTTTTATTATATTGTTTATTTTTTTTGTTTATTAAAAAAAAAAAAAAATATACTTTAATAATAAAAATGAAATATATTATAATTTTAATTTTATTTATTAATTACTCTTTAAATACTACAATAAATGAATTTAAAAATTGTAAAGCTAAAAAATGTAATTAAATAGAAGAAAATTGCGTATTAGACAATGTAAAATGTATGAACATATTAAAATAACAAGAAAATTGCATAAGATCAGATTTAATATGTACTTCATTAACTATTTATGAAAGTATAAGTGAATGTTTATAAAAATGTCAATAAAATGACACAAACAAATTATATTTAGAATTATTATAATGTTATAATTATTGCTATTCTAATAAGATTTTTATTTTGCAATTTAATATATTTTTGTTTTTTATATTAAAGAATATTATTATATGAAAATAATAAATATATAAATACATTTATAATATTAAATAATATATATATAATAATATAACAGATTATATATATATATAATATGAATTTCAATAAAAAACCTATTTATATATAATCAATTAATAATAATTCATACAATTGTTAGTAATCGGATAGATTTAGGTAGTTTCTTTAAAGTAAAAGTAAACCGAAAGAGGTTTTTTAATACGAAAATTGTCCTCCCAAATAATTAATAGTGGCCCAAAAAGTATTTTTAGATGAGGAATTATAATAAATGTCTATTAGTTAAATGCTAAATTCATAAATTGAAGAAAAAAACTATTTTTATAAATAAAAATTCGAAAATAAAATACAATCATAAACCCCTTTATAAGAAATCGATATAAATAGGGATTAAGAATAAAATAAAACATCGAATAATTATCAATAATATGTATTTATGTATAAATAAAAGAACAAATGTGGAAAAAATACAAAGGAAAAAGCTTATTTACATAGATCTTTGGATAATACTTAATGTATAAACTCTAATAACTACAATTTATTTCATTAATATAATATAATTAGAGATTTTAAGCTTTTTTTTTAAGAATAAATACACCAGAATTATTATTAAATATAGTTATAAATGAATAAAGCTAAAAAAATTAAAAAAAGATGATTTTGAATTCATAAAAATAATTGGAAAAGGTGTTTTTGGAAAAGTATATATGGTTAGGTATTATATATATATTTAAATATATATATATATATTTAAATTTATATTTATATATTATTTAATTAATATATATTTCTATATATATATATGTATATTTTTTATTTTAATAAGTGATCTTATATCTAAAGGTATATATGCCATAAAAATTATACTCAAATAAACTGTAAAATAAAATAATATGGAAGAATAGTTATAAAATGAACTTAATATTCACTAAAATTATTGCTTTCATGAAAATATTTTTAATGTATTGTATATTTTGAAGATAAATTAAATTATTATATTCTGATGGAATATGCTTCTGATGGTAATTGTGAGGAAATGCTTGATATATATCAAAAAATTACAGAAGAAGAAACCGCTAAAATAATAAATAAATATCAAAAGCTTTATATCATATACAATCCTAAAAAATAATACATAGGGATTTTAAACTATAAAATATTCTTATATCAGATGTATGTTTATATATATATGTATGTATATTTATGTCTATTTAGGGAAAAGTTAATGTTTGTGATTTTATGTGTGCTACGTTTATAGAAACTAAAGAATTTAATAAAAGGAAATCATTTTGTGGAACTTTTGATTATTTATGTCCTAAAATGATTAGTAATTAAATATATAATTAAGATATTAATATATGGGCTTTAGGAGTGATTTGTTTTCAATTAATAGCTGGTTATACGCCTTTTTGTAAATAAGATGAAATATAAACTAAACAAGCTATAGTTAATGTATATGTTCACATATATATATATATATATATATATATATATATATATATATATATATATCGATAGATTGATATTATCTACCATGATTTTTTTTTCCAAAAAGTTAGTAATTTTTTTATAAAAAATATTCGCTAAAAATTAATAAGAAAGAAGAAAGTATTAATATATAAGAATTACTATAAGATAAATTGATAAATGGGTATGTTTGAAGTTATATTCATAAAACTATTACTATACATATATATATTAATATAAATATATATATATATTATTTTTCATTTTTTTTTTTCATATTTCTTTTATTTGTGTATTTGAATTATTCTTTCTATATATCTTTTTTTTTCATTTTTTTATTCTATTTCGTATTCTTAAATTTTATGTTTATATTTATTACGTAAATTTTATATATTTATGTTTTCAACGAATTTTTATATATTTATATTTTAATCTTATTTCTTCGTTTTTTATTCATTTATTTATTTAATTATTTACTCGTATTTTATATTATTTTGTAGTTTTTTCTATATAATTCTTTATTATTTACCTATAATGTAATTTTCATTAGAAAAATATTCAAATCTATCCTTTTTTTTTTTTTATTTAATCAAAAAAGAAATATATATTATTATAAATCTATTAAATTGAATTTTTTTATTAAACTTAAAACTATATTTTTTTAATAAATTGTTAAGATTTGTTAGTATTTTCATTAAAGTAAGATTTTATTTATTCAATATTTTACCCATTTCGCATTTTTTCGCGAAATATTTCATATTTAGATGATGATCTTTAACCTTTTTCAAATGAAAATCGATTACTTATAGTTCTGTGTCTAAATTTGGGTGGATATATACCTGGAGGGAGTTATTTTGGAGGTGTTTTTTGGAGCATTTTTTAATTAAAAAGGTCATTTAGTGAATAACTTTTTTATATAAAATATGGAATAAATTAATTTTTATTCATTTTATTTTTTTAAATTAAAAAAACCAAAAAAAAAAATTTAAGTATAATTTTTAAATTTACGTTTTTACTGGAAATAATCAAGTTTTTTTTTTTTTTTTTTTAAAAAAAAATTAAAACTAATAGACTAATTTTAAACAATTAAAAAAAAAAAAATGGTATAAAATATAATAAACAAGTCATTTTTTTATATAAAAAAGATTATAAACAGTACTTAATATATAGAAAAAATAAAATATATTAAAGAAAAACATAATTTAAGTTTAAATATATATAATAATATTAGTATTTAATAAAATCTTACTAATAATATTAATTATTTATATATATAAATCTTATAATTATTTCTATAATTTTTTTTTTTATTTAATAAATTTATTTTTTTTATATGTGAACAAAATACACTTTTTCATTGTTTTTTTTTTGAAAAAAAAAGAAACACTTATTTGTAAATTTTATATTATCGAAATTTAAAATAATTATAAGTTATTTTTGGGTAATATCAATTTATTAATTATATATATAAAAAATCTATTTTTACTTCATTTATTGATAAAAAGAATAATTATTTCAAACAAAAATACCTTTTGGGAATATTTATTGTAATATATGAGGGATTTAAATTGCATTTTTAGCTTTAGTTGATGAATAAATATGCTTAAATAAGTACTTTAGATAAATAGAAGGTAAGAGAGTTTATTTGATTTTCTGAAAGAGTTTATATTAGACTAATTTTAGATTAAAAAGGAGGTAAATTAGTCTAAAATTGTTTGTTTAATCCTTAATTTATATATGTATTTAAGAATTCGATTACCAAACAAAAAAATAAAGAAAATTTAAGACTTAAAAAAGCAAGATTTTAAACTGTTTTTTATTTAAGAAAAAAAAGGCTTGAATTTTTTTAAGAAAAAAAATTTTAAAAAAAAAACTCGAAAAAAAGAATAATATAAGACATATATATATGTATATATTAGATAAAACTTAAATATAGATTAATTGTAAGAAAAAATACATTCTTTTTGAGAAAAAAACGATTTTTAGACTACTATAAGTAATATCGAGTTATGTAAGTCCTTTAAAGAATAAAATATTCAATTAATTAAAGGCTATTTTACCACTTTTAATGCTAATTATATGAGCATTATTATCATTTTTAGAATTAAATTATAGTATAATAGGCTTTTTAGGTATTTGATATCCAAATAATTGACTAAATAAGATTTAAATGGTAAAAATAGAGGGTTTAAAAGATAAAAATAAATGTTTATTATAAAAATGGATATTAGAGATCGAAAGAAAGTTATAATTTAATAGATTATAGTATACTATATATTATATATTTAAGTTTATTTTATAATGAATTAATGTATTGTAGATTATTTATAAGATATTTTTAATGTTTTATCAAGTAAATAATAAATTTTAAAAGTTGATGATGATAAAAGACTAATTCTAGAACAAATGAAAAGGAAATATTAAGCTATTTTATGATATTTAATAATTATAAAGGAATTTATAAATATAAATTGAAGTAAAAAAAAAGAAAGATATATTCTAAAATTATATAAATGTATATTAGAACTTTCTAAATATATAGGATTTAGTCAAAAAAGATAATATTTATTATTTAAATGATAATTATATAATATATATGAATAAAAAAAAAATTAGAAATTTTATATAAAATAAAAAAATAATATAAACATATATATATATAAATATATATATATATATATATATAAATATATAAATATATTTATATATATAAATTATAATTTATAAGTATTTATATATATTTCTTTTTATGTATTAATTCAATTAATTATTATAAAAAAATAATTTATTATTTTTAAAAAATGCTAAAAAAAGAAGTTATTTTAAGAAATGAAATATATACAGTATTTATTTATTTAAAGAAAATAAATAAAACTTATTTATAAAAGGTTTTTTCAAGTGAAAAATAATAAAGAATGGGAATATATTTTTAATTAAATGAAGGTTTTATTTTACTAATTTAATTAATTATAAAAAAAAATTAGAATATAATAATTGCCTTCAAAAATGTATTAATTTGACGGATTAATAAAAAGATAATTGTGCAAACGAATGTGAATCTATATATGATTAAGTAAATATTAATAAAAATTTTTATAATAAATATCCTTAAACATACAGTAAACTTAATAATAATATAATATAAATTATATTATATATATTCCAAAAAGAATATTTTTAAAAATAAAAAGATAATTAAAAAAAAAAATGCTATATCAATAGAAGAAATAAATATATATATTTATATATATATAAATATATACATATATATATTTATATATATAAATATATATATATATTTATTTTTCTTATTAAAAAGTATACAGAAAAATTAAAATTAAGATATTAAGGTTAAGATAAAGAAAGAATCAATATGGAAGTATAAAATTTACCTTCTTTTAATAGTAAAAAAAGGTAAGATAGATAAGGAATTTTTTATGAAATATTTGGTTTTAGTTTTAGAGAATTAATAAATGGATAGGATTAAAGAGCATCTTTTGAATTTAATGAAGATTTTAAAAGATTTTGAAAATATATATTAATTAAAATAAATAACAAATATTTATATTAATATTTATATTAATATTTTATATTTATATATATATATATATATATATATATATATAATATATATATATATATATATATGTAAAAAAAAATTATATATATTCATATTTAAAATATTTCATTTATTTTTTTCATTTATTCATGTATTTTTGGAAGTGTTTTTGCATTATTATTAGTGTTTATATTATTATTATAAAAATTAGTATAATAAGAAATAAATGTTTTTGAAAATTCTTTAAATAATTTTTATAGTAAAATATTTTAACTATTAAAAAATTATTAAGTTTCTTTTTTAAAAATGGGTATTTTTTCCAAAAAATCTATATTTTTTTCTAAAATATTATTATTTGTTTCTTATAAATGATTATTATTATTTTTATCTTATTAAATTTCATCTTTATTTATTAAAAAAAATGGAAATAAATCTTCCATATATATTTTTATGTAATTTTCTATTTAATTTTTTAATTCGATTTCTATTTTTTTTATATATTCTTTTCCTTTTTGACATATTTTTATCTATTCTTCGTTTTCGAATACTTCCTAAATTATATATAGGTTCTAAATCATAAAAATCTTACTTTCAAGACCTTTTGCGCAGTTATCTTCTTCGTTTTTTCTCAAAAACCTCATATATTTTTCACTCAACTATTACATTCTTACCAAAAGCATCTTATTTTCACCGAATTTACCATATAATATGTATAAAGAAAGCATAAAATCAGCAAATCTATATGAAAAAAAGTTAAAATTGGCATTTTTTTGTAATTTATTATCAAAACTAGCTAATTAGATTTCAAATAATTGCTCAAATATAGGCCAGAAAGTCATATTTATATTATTAAAGTATTAATTAGTCCATTAATTATAATATTTTTATTGATTTTATTAATTTATAAGTATAATAAGTAACATTCCGTAAAAATCGAAATTATTTTGTAACAAAAATTTAAAAGTTTCAAGAAAAATTCCGAAAATATTAAAAAAGAAATTTTAAAAAATACCGAAAATTTCATCATTTTTTAAATGAAAAAAAACTCGCAAAAATTCGTTTTCTAAAAATAGCTTTTAAAATAATTGTTTGTTAGTTTTTTTAAAAAACTGCTCTATAGTCAACTTTTGTTAATTTTTATAGGTTTTTTTATATTGATTTTCATCTAAAATTAAGTCTCTTTTCATTAAATCAAATATAGATCGATTTTATCCTGTATCTAAGTTAATTATTTCATTTGTATTTATATATGAACGTGAATTATGTGATACTATTAAGTCATTTTAGGTATATAAAATATGTAATTTTTTAATATTTTCATTTATATAAGCTTTAAAATATTAAAAATAGGAATATTAAATGTTTTCGGAGTAATAATTTAATAATTCAGTGTATATTTAAAGGTTTTATTATTTCAAAAACTAAAGGAATATACTAAAATCAATAAATATTTGACGCTTTTAAATTGTGTTTTTTTCTATTGAATAATTTATTATAAATAATTAATTTTGTCAATTAAAAATTCTTTAATTCTTAAACAAGCCTTTTATATAAGTTTTTATATTTCAGGTTCTAAAGAAAATAAAAATATAATTATGTAAATAAGTAAATAAATAAATATATATAATTATATATTTATAAATATATATAAATATTTATATATATATATATTTAAAATAATATATATTTTACACAAGTTATTTAAAGTATTAATTTATGAAGTATTAAATGTATTTAAAAATTAAAATTTATTTTATAAAGAAATAATATTTTATATATAATTTTAATTTATTGGCTGGTTATTTAAATTTATAATAAACTTAGCATCAATATTTGTTGAAGATATTAAATTTTATAAAATTTCTTATATTTTTTAAGTGTTCTTCAAATTTTAAATAGTTTTAATAGACTTTTCTTATAATAAAGACATATCTTTTTCTAATTAGTTTAAATCAGTGCTAAATTAAATAAATAAATCTTCTAATTATTAAATTATAGTATATGATTTTTGTAGTTCATTTTCTAAAATTTAAGTCTCTCCGTCTAAATATTCATAATTTTCGGATATTTACCATTCTTTATTTTTTAATTCTTAAAAAGCCTATAAATATAAAATATATATAAATAAATATATTGATTATATTTAAATGAATTTTTTAATATATATATTTATATATTTATATATATATATATATATATATATATATATATTTTATTACTTTTTCATATATTTATGGAAGGTTTATATTTTTGTTTTATTCTATATATACTATAGTTTGTTCAGATATTTATAATTAATTATAAATTGATTCCATAATTTTATATAAATATATTATAATATAATATAAAAATAAATCTTTTATAAATATAAAATTAATATTATAAATGATAAATAATATGTATTAAAATACATATAAATATATATTAAAAATATATATATATAAAAAAAACAATTATAAAAATAATATTTATATAATAAAGATAAAATATATATAAAAATTCTAATAATATATATTTCTATTATGTAAATATTTATAATCTATATAAAATATCAATTTTTATAAGAAAAATAAAACAGATTTATTATAAATACATATTAATAATTATTATAAATAAATGGATAATTTCTATGATGGCCATAATTCAGATATAGAAATAGTTTAATATGCATTAAAATTAATTCGTTTTTTTGCCCGTAATCAATCTCGTGAAAACAACCAATAATACCAAGATAATAAATTTTAAATCCTTTAATAACTTGTAAACAAGACCAAAAAACTCTAAGACATGAAATCTCCACAAATAAAGAAGTTCTATAATGATGAAGGTTCTATAATAAATGTAATACGAGTTTTTTTAACCGAACCTCACCCCATATTAAGGTCAAACGCAATAAAATTTTTTCGTTTAATCTTAGAATCTGAGAAAATATCATTATAATATATTTAATATTCAATTCCAATATTCATAGCACGTTCATTGGAAAGAGAAACTAAGAATTCGCAAGAAAATCGTTAAAATACGTCATCTAGTAGTGCATATTAGGAGATAGATTAGTCTTTAAAATTCATAAAAAAATGGATCGAAATTACGCCAAAAACCTTCCCGAAATTACTCGCAAATTCCCTTGTGGCCTTTTCCGAAAATGCTGACGAATAGATCAAATAAGCTGCAATTGAAATTATAAGAAAACTGGCTGTTGGAAACCCTCAATTATGTGCCTGGTCTGGAGGTATTAAATTACTCATAGAGTGTGTAATTGACCATTCTTTATAAGAATTATCCGATCCCATTATTCATACTTTACTTTATTTACTAAATGAGCCTGATTATAGGAATTTAGTTAAGGTTTATTTGGATTTCCCTAAGCTTTTCGGAGTCTTTACAGATATAGATGCACCCTCAAAGAGTGCTCCCAAAACCTAGTCTTAGGAGGACAATAGAAGGGAGATGGAGCAGTTCGAAAAAACACTCAACCTGGCGAAAAAAGCACTGATTACAATGCTAAAAACATGGAAAGGGCTCATTTATCTCGGAAACTAGAGAATCGCGATGAGATCTTTAGTTTAGACTCTAAGATAGCCTATACATGATAAAATAAGGAACGCCATATATGATATTATAGGGGAGTTATTAGCCTTAGGGGTTAAAGAGAGTATATAAAAGAAGATTACAGTGTAGAATTTTCTGAACTATTATTTGATGATTTTAATACAATTTTTACTAGACTGTGATCTTTTTACAGTGTTAGTAGAATTAAGTGGACTAGAAGATGAGAAAAAATCAATTAGAGCTTAAGAATAACTAAAATAATTGACTTAATTAATGTTTAATTTAATCCCTAATTGCCAAAAATACACTGATTTTTTGATTTAGGCAGCCAATTAATGCAATGAGAGTTTAAGTGATTTGAAGGCTTGGTCTAGTAATATAGTCTCTATAATGGGAAATTACGTTTTTGAGTAAAATGTGAAATATAGGAAAAACTTTCACTCTAAATTCGTGTATTCTTGTGAGAATTTTTACCTTTTTACATAGTTGGGACTGCCTTCGCATAGAATTAATAAATAAATTATTTAAAAAATAAAAGTCTAGAATGAAAGTGTACTAGACGATTAAAATTTCGAAAGGCTTTTGTAAGATACCAATATATAGAGGGAGTATGCAAGATGGAATTGGAATTCTATATTGGAAATTGTACAGACTTATATATAAAATAAATGGAATGAACTTAAAAATAGGTTTGTAAGGAAACTTCTGGTCTATTTTCACCCTCATTAGTAGTAGTTTATATCTTTAGAATGGAGAGACTCAAATTTTATATAGGCAAAAGTTGGCTATTTGTTAATTTAAAATCTTTTAAAATTCTAAGAAGGTACTTAAATATTAAATACACCACCTAATGATATGATTAATATTAATAGAAGCTTTATAAGTGAGCTTTTTCATTTATTAGTAAGTGAGGTAAATTAAGAAATGAATCATCCGTAATAAATTAATATTATTATATATATATATATATATATATATATATATATATATATATATATTTATAAATTTTTTAGAGCTTCCTTTTTATTAAAACCTTCTGAATTTAATGAAAAAATGATTAGGGAATATATTTCTTGGATTGGGCTTTTTTCTTAGAGTGGAAGTGGTTTAATTCTTTTAAAAGAAGCTAAAATATGGGAAACTTTAAATTAATATGTAGATATAAAAGGGAAAAGAGATCATATTTTAATACTTCTAATTTATTGTTTGGATTATGGCAAATAGAAAAAATCAATTGAATTTTTATAATATTGTTTAGAAAAAGGGTCTTTTTTTTATAAAACTCGGCTTTGGAATTATTAAGATTATTAAATAGATGTGAATTTATAGGTAAATAATTAATAAATTATATATATAAAAATAAATATATATACATATATATGCATAAATTAATATAAATATATATATATATATATATATATATATATATATATATACATATATTATTTATACTTTTTAGATTTTTTCGAATGGGGAATTGATATGTTAGTGAATAAATTAAATAATTCTGATTAGATCGAAATTCGTTAGAAAGCTTTAAATGTAATAAAAGAAGTAGTTTAAGAAAAGAAGTATATGGAAATATTTTTTTCTAAGAATCCTAATTTATAAGACTTATGTGATGAAAGCGACCCTTTTTTAATAACCTTATTATAAACAGAAGAAGGATTTAATTATTTATCTTAAAAATATGATTGGATTAGTTAAGAACTATTTCGTTGGCAAGAAACCGAGAAGATTTAATATGTAACTAAAATTGAAAAATGTCTTCTTAATGCCCTTAATTTTGTTGAAAACGAAGAACAGAATATCTTCAGGTTCCCTGACATAGTAAATAACCCTCAAAACTCACTTTTTACACTAGGATTTATACATAGAATGCCCTGGATTATGAACGTAGACTTTTCTACTAATGAATTCAAGGATAGTATATAATTTTTAGTCTCTATATAATATTAAGGTTAATAAAATCTATCATAGTTTGTTTTATGCGGAAGGCCTACACCTTTGTCGCCTTATTCTGAATTAGATAAGTATACTATACATTTTCAATTCAAAATTCTAAATAAATTTTAATTTATCTGTTGGAAAGGTAAATAATAATATATATATATATATATATATATATATATATATATATATATATATATATTTGTTTTAGAGTTTTATTGATAAAAATTGTAATGAATTACCTGATCCTTCGTCTATTTTAGTAAGATGTGATTTTTCTGATAGTAAACAATATGAGAGAATAGATAATAATTTGATAATTAAAAAAGGCGGAATTCATTTTATTTTCCTTTTCGATGAAAATTCTAACACTGTAAAATTAACTTAAATTAAACTTTATATGAAGGTATCTGAAAATAAGTCTTTATAAGAAAAAGTTCCTTAGCATTTCTTTGGAGAGTTAGTCAAGACAACTCTTGGGAAAAAAATACTAAGGGAAAATCGAATAATAGAATAATGCGTGGACGATATAAGGAATTACAATATCCCAATATTAAATAAAAGAGCCTCTTTATGGGCAATAGGTAATATAGGCTATTCTATAGAAGGAATAGATATGATTTCTAATCTATATTAAAATCAAATAGTTTAAGATTTGGTAAGATTAGCAGAATAAAGTGACATTCTTTCTTTAAGAGGAACATGTCTATATATACTTAATATGTTGGCTAATACAGAATTAGGTAGATCTTAATTAAAAGAATTAGATTGGATTTCTCATTGGAATTAAAATATAGGTATTAATATATAAATATATAAATATATAAATATATAAATATATATATATATATATATATATATATATATATATATATATATATATATATATATATTATTAATATTTTATAAATAAGGATGGCTTGTAACACCAAATAATATGAGATAATTTTTTTATATTAGAAATACGAATAAGGAAGGTTTAAGAACTTATTGGCCTAATTAAAATGAAAATTGGGATAGATATATATCATTTTAAAAAAAAGTTATTTAAAATAATGATTAAAGTAAACTATTATAGAATATTGCACTTATGAGTAATGCTTTAAGTAGTAAAAATGCTAGTATGGAAATAAAAAAAATATATAAAAGTAATCCGGGATTATTTGAAGATAAAATAGTTATTTATTCAGTAATACTAATGCTTGATTTTTATAAGTTTAGATTCGAAAATAGAAAATTTATATTTAATTTTTTCGAAAAAGCATTTTCAAACCAAGAAGTTTTCTCGATTTTAGATTAAAATCCATATAATGATAAATAAAGCTTATGAATATATATATATAAAATATATAAATATTTATATATATATATATGTATTTATATATTATATTTTTAATTAAAATTTAAAAATGATTTAAAATAATTAAAACATAAACAAAGAATCCTAAGGAAAGTTTAAAATTCAAATATAAGGTTAAGAAGGATTATAAACTACATTTACTGTATTTAATAATTAATAACTTAGTTTGATTATTTTTCATATATTGACGAATATTTTATTTATTTGTGGATTTTTTATTTATAATAATACATTAAATATAAATATCATTATTAAAAAAGCAGCTAATAATATTATATATATATCCACAATAATAGTTATAAATATATTTTTCATTAAATACAATGGTTCTAAATTAGAAAAAGGTTATTTGTATAAATACTAATATATGAATATATATAAATAGAAAGCCTGATAATAATAAAAAATATAGGCGTAGTAATAGAAAAAACGAAAAATAATGGAAGTATAGATACATAATTTATATATATATCATAAATAAGAGATTTAATTATAAACGAAGTAATAATTAATACATATATATATATATATAGATATATTTAAATTTAGGGAATGACTCCATATGATATTAGATATTATATGGCTATTATAGCTAAAGATTATGATTAATTAATAGTTTTATTTGAATCTTTTAAATTAAAATTAAATGATATTTTATAAATATATTATATAGCTAGATAGTATATATTAAATGATATATAAAAGAAATGAAAAAAAATATATATATATTTTTTTTATTAAAATAAAAATTAATATAAAACAAAAAAAGAAATAAAAAAAATGTTTTAATAAAATATTAAATTTTCATAAAAAAAAAAAAGTTTTTAATTAAAAAATAATACTCCTATATAATTTACAACCAGAATTAGCCCCAAAAATCAAATTTTATAAAATTCAATATAAAAAAAGGCTTCTAGTGTATATTTTAATTAAGTTTTTAATTCTATTTTAGACGTAAATGATAAACAATAAATAAATTTAGCAGTAAACTAGTTAAAAAACATACGAGAAAAACAAAAAATAATCGATAAAATTATAAATAGAAAAAAAGAAAAATAAGACGCAGAATAATTAGTTTAAATTTCCAAAATTTAGCCATTAATTTATCGTTTTTTAAAAAAAATCAAAAAATAAGAAATTTCACATTAATTCAATATTTTAGAAAATAAAAATAAAAATTTAACCCCTTTTTCATAATTTTTATAAAAATAAAAGGAATAATTTAATTTTTATTCAGAAAATGCACTTATGAAAGGAGTCACTTTGGCAATTTTTTTTAAAAACGAGAAAAATTAAGATACTAATAAGAATAAAGGCATAAAAAAAACCTTTCTTTTGTAAGTAAAGATGAAAGAATGTCCTAAAAAAGGGAACTTCCGAAACACATATAGCCCGAATCGGAAGAAGCGAAGCATTATTGGCTAAATTTGAACTCAGTTAGTTAAAATTCGAAGGCTTTATAACTTAATGGTCAGTTTTAATCACGTAAAAGAGTAACAGAGTTACTAAATGACTTCCAAAAAGTGAATTTAGCGTCCCATTTTAAATCTAAATCATTAAATTTGTAAAGTTTTAAAAATTCTATTATAAATACGTTTAATTTTGGCAATGAAATTTAAGAAAAAAGGAGTATTTGTAGATTATAAAATTCAGACTAGAAATAATTAAATTTTAATGATTAAAAAGAAGTTTTAGAGACTGTAAGCGACAATATAGTTTAGTTTATAAAAAAGAAAAAAATTTAAAGCGATTCTTTTAATTATTTTTTAGATTAATTTTAATTAAGAAATAATAATATTAAAAATATTGAAAATAATGTCTTTTAATAAATTTATTTAAAAAAAAAAAAAGATAAACTAATGTAATCTCGCTCTATATAGAAGAAAGAATAAAAGCTAATTAGTAATAAATCTATATTTTTAAAAAATAATAAAAAGAAAAAAAATAAACTATATAATAATATTATTACTGAATCGTAAAAATATATGTTTACTAATAGATATTAAATATATATATATATATAAATTTATATATATAAAAAATAAGAGATAATAAATATGATTAAGGAAATGAATCTTTTGCTTCTTATACAGAAATTAAATTAGATTAATTATATAAAGAAAGTTAGAGATTAAATAATCAAATAAATGAAATCGATATAATAAAATAAAAATAAGAAAATATATTCCTAAGATAAGAATTTAAAGACAATACAGAAAAAATAAAAATAAAAAACTAAAAAGAATTAAAAAATATTAATAAGTATATATATATATATATATATATATATATATATATATATATTTATACCTTTATAACTATTATATTTTATATAGATAAGTTTAAAGTTGCTTTTATAGAAAAATTTTAAACAAATTTAAATGATTTATTATATTTTATTTTTTCCTAAACCTATATATATATAAATAATTATTGTTTATGTAAATATATTTATATATTTTTTATGGTATTTTTTATTTTAAATTAATTTTTTAATGAATGAATCTTAATTTATTTTTCCTAAAATAAGTGTTTTTAAATAAAATAGTATTAATATTAATGAACATAATTATTTTTAAGTAACTAAAGACCTAAATAATATATATTAAATATCAAATATTATATATAGGATTATAATTAAAAAAATATGATTGAATAATCTTTGTAAAATATTAAAAAATAATAATACTTAGAATTATAAAATTATTTATTGATGTAAATATAAGAAAAAAATAATAAAAAGGAGATGTAAAAATATTAAAAAATAGAGATTTAGAAAAAAGAATGTTAAAACTAAATAAGAAATCAAAATAAAATACTTGAAATTCAAAAAAATTAAAGAAAAAAATAAGTAAAAAAAAAAACATATAGATATACATATAAATATATATATATATATATATATATATATATATATTTATATAATATTTATTTTAAATATATGTATATCTAATATATAAAAATTAATAAATTAGATTTAATTAATTGTTGAAAACATTTTTTAATAACCTTTAAATTAACTTTAATAAAGTTTTTAAATTTTAAATAAATAATAAAATGAAGAATATTAAAAAATTTTTGAAAATTTTTAAATATAAAATAATATAAAACATGAAAATTAATAAATTAAAACATAAATTAAAGAAATACTTAATTAAAAAAGATAAATTTATAATATAAATCAAGATTTTATTGTTAATTAATAAAACAATGAATACAAATAAAAATAAATAAATGAATAAATAGAAGAAATCAAAAAAATAGTTGATTAGCATGCATTCGAATGTGATAAAATGTTTAATTTCTAAGTAAATAATCAATAAAAACTAAACTAAAATCAAAAACAATATCAAATATAAACATAAGATAAATAAATAGGAGACATATTAAACTAAGATAACTTTTAAATATGTTATACTGATCCTATATAAGAAATGAATACTAAAAGAAATATTAAAAATTAAGATTAAGTAATTTAAGATTTAATTGAAGGAAATTAAAGAAAAAACAAAGCCTATTAACTTAAAAAAGAATTCGAGAAAAAAGCAATAGACTATTTTCTATGGGAAACTAAAAAAAAATTTAAATGAGAATGAATAATATATATCCGAAAAAAAAATATAAAATTAAAATATATATATATATATATATATATATATATATATATATATATATATTTAATATATATATATCTTCTTTCCTTTATTAAAAAAAATATATAATATAATTTATAATTAAAATAAAATAATATTTATTTAATAAACAATATAATGAATTTATTAGATATATTAGATTAATCAAAACGATAATTAGGTGATAAACTATATGAATTTAAGTTAATACATAGTTTAACATCCAAATTTATAACAGAAAAATTAACTTTAAGGAATTTAATGTTTTCATGTTAAAAATTTGGAGGATTAATCGCTTCTTTGAAATAAAGAAACGAAATAATAGTCTCAAATGCAAGCCCTGATATATTAAAATGTGTATGCTTTTTTAATAATGATGGTACTATATACCATAGTATTCCTTTCGAATAAAAATCTTAGATACTTGCTTTTGAATTTTTAGATAATGATTATTTAATATTAATATAATAAGATGCTAATTATTATATATTTGACCCTTATAAATACTCTACGTAATAATATTAGTAAAAAAGCCTAGCGGAGATTTTCAAAATATAAGAATCTTTAATAAATGCAAAAGTATATAAGAACGGTTTTATTTTTTGTACTTAAAAAAAAAATGAGATTCGTTTTTATTCAATACAAGATGCTTTTTTCCCTGAAAAAATAACGTTTTTTGTCGATTCTTTTTTAAAGGAAATACCAAGAGATTGGCAGATTTTACCATAAAAACTCGAGGTATAAATTACACATTAAGATAATGGAATTATTCTACTTTCCGAAAATAATAGAAGTTTATTTTACTCGTAGGAATCTTTACCATCTATTAGAAATATCATCTAAATAAGCATTTCTTTAAAGGGAAATCTCGCAGCTTATTTATAATAAAATACTGAAAATTCACTTACTGTAAATATACTATCTAATGATTACAAATAGACAGTTTATTTCAAAAATTAAATTAATATATCGAATATATAAGCATAAAATACTAACAAATAATTATAAATCTAAATGTAATGGTGTGGAGAAGACTGTCTTATCCTTAAGATATTCGATTTTCTGATCATGGTAGGCCCAAGAGACACTGAAACAATAAAAATGCCTGAAGACTTTATTTTTTTCCCAGAAATAGATGCAATAAAAATAATAACAAAAAATGAACTTTAACTCTTAAGAAAGGTACCAGATTCTTACTTGAATATTTTCAAAAATTTTTCGAATAAACCAGTATTTGATTATATATATATATATATAATAAATAAATATATATATATATATATATTTTATATATTTATATATTTATATATTTATATTTATTTATTTTACATTTATTTTAGGGTTGCTAATTATTAGAAAATTATAAAAAAATCCAATAAAACATTTCTTATGAAGACTAAGATTTACGTTAAAATAAACAAAATCTACAGGAAGCTATTTATGATTGTATATAAGCTTCAACATACGTAACAGAATTCGAAATTTAAAATGAATTATTGAATGCGGCTAGTTACGGGAGAACTTTTTTAATTGAAAATGAACAAAATAGTAGTTTTTTTTAAGAAACGTGTAAAATAATACGAGTTTTATTTAATTTTGATTAAAAAGAACCTAGAAGAATACTTACATGTGAATAAATGAAGTTTTTAATATAAAATTTTAGTGATTTGTTGATTCCTAAGCTTTTAAAATATAAACTACATAATTTAGCAGTTTAGATTTGTAGAAATTTTAATAAAGATGAAGTTTTTTTAATATATGAAGATTGGGCAATTACCATAATTGAGAAAAATGAAGACGAAGATAAAATAATGGAAAAAATTATAAGTTTTTTTCAAAAAAAACAGTCAGAAATTTCCTTTATTTTAATCGCAAAAAAAGCCTTTTAAAAAAATTTAAAAAATCTCGCAATTTAATTGATTTCCTTTGAAAATTTAATCTAAAAAAGAATTCCTTTTCTATTATGGATGGCTAATGAAGAAACAGACGAACTTAAATCATTCTTTTATTTCGAAAAAGCATTAAATGATACTTTTTAATAGAAAGATTTTGACCTTTTGTATGAAATTTTCTTTTTTTTAGACAATACATTGGCACTCTCAGCTGATTTAAAGCTTAAGTTATTATAATAGAGACCTGAATATGTATATATGTACACTAATATGCTCAAAGTTAAAACTTTAAATCAAAACAAGTAATTAATCGAACAAAACAAGAAGAACTTGAGTACTTTTTTAGAAAAAACTAGACAGTTTGGGGAGAGAGGAGCCTTTTATTTACAAGAGTAATTTTCTTATGACTTAAATACGGAAAGTCTTATAAAAATACTGCTAGATAAATACGATTTTCTGAAAATATCGGAAGAATCATTTAAATAATTTTAAGAAGATCAATTTTATAATAATGCAATTTGCGAGGAATTCGCGAAAATTTCATTTTTACTTTAAAACGAGAAACCTGAAGAAAAAAAGGACTTAAAAAGTATAGAAAAAGAAAAAAACGACAAATTTTAATTAGACAATTAGTCATTAAATTCCCATTTAATAAAAAATATACTATAAAATGGTAATAATAATGATTTTAAATAAATATAAAAATAATTCAGTAATGTAGGTGAAAAGAGGCTCTTTTTATTAAAATTAAGAAGTCTTTTTGATAATAAAAATACAGCAGAAATAGAATATTATATAAAAGAAATAAATAAGAAAAAAACAGTAATTCCATATGAATTTGTGGCTTAAGAACTAATCAAAATAAATGAAAAAGGTAGCGCGATTAGAATTATTTTAGAAATGTAAGATTTGGAAGAATAAATATTATTATTAATAAAAATTGGAGAAAGTAAATAAGCGATTAAAAGTGCGGTATAAAGTAAGAAAAATTAAAGCTATTTTATAGATTTAATTAAATAGTAAATATATGATAAGGATTTAATTAATTATATGGAAAATTAAATAATATAATAATAATAATAATAAAATAATAAAAAATGATATAAATATAATATATATTTAAATATAAAATGATTAATTATTATATTTATTTATTAAAAAAAATTATATATATCAGAAAAATATTAAAAATAATATATTTATTATTAATAAATATAATAATTTATTTTTTTTATAACAAAAAAAGTCTTAATATAAATTAAAATAATTAATTATATGTTGTATTTATTTTTATTAATATAAATTTATATTTAATTCTTTTGATTATTAAAAATTATAATATAAATATAATTAAAATTAATATAAATAAAAATCATATTATATAAAATATATATTAAATATAATATATTTAGCAATATAAAACAAATATATATAAATATATATTTATTTATATAAATATATTATTTTATATTATTTTTCTTCAACATTAAGCATATATGTATATATATATATTTATGCTAGTTTATTAATATATTAATAAATAAATTAATCAGTATTATTAATCAGTATATTATTTTTATATACATATATAATTTATTTATTTATATTTTAAATAAAATTTTTGTTATTATTAAATTAATTTTTATTTTTATTACTAGTATTTTTTTTTTAATAATTTATTATATAATTTTATTTTATTTATTATTTTAATTTTTTTTTCTTTTAAAATAAATTAAAACGTATTTATCTTTTATATATACATACAAAATTATTTAAAAATTAATAATTTAAAAATAAAATAAATATGAAATATAAATTAATAAAATATATATATATTATATTAATTTTAATATTTTATTTAAATATTATTAATATATACATTTAATTTTAGATAATTTATATTTTTATTTATTATTATATATTTTTTATATTTTTAATTTTTTTTAAATTTTCCTCTTTTATTTAAATATGATTATTTTTGTTTAAAGAATACTAATAATTATAAAGATCCTATTTTTATATATATTTATATTTTTTATTTAATTAAAGAATAGATAAATTTATATATATTTTTGTTTAATTTAGGTTTTTAAATAATTATTAATAATAGTTTTAAATATAAAATTAATGCTTACATTAAAATAAATTAATAACAATACAAAAATTTAATAATTTTTTTTTTTTTTTTTTAAATATTAAATATAAAACAAAAATAATATAAAAAATATAAAAAACACAAAAAAATATTAAATTAAAAAATTAATAAAAATAAAAAAAAAACTAAATACAAAAAAAAAAATACAATAATAAAAAACATGTAATTATTTATTAATCCATAAAACAATTATAACCTTATTTTTTCTAATTAAAACCTTAATATTCCTTTGTAGAATCCTTAAAAATAAATAAAAAAGCTTCTTTTTTTGAATAATTAGACTTTAAAAAATGCTTTCTAGAATACTATATCAGATTTAAGTTATTAAAACGATTAAAAAACTCATCTAAATTTTCTTAAAATAGATGTTTCTACTTAGCCATCTCCTTTTAACAACAATTAATAGTAAGTGCAATAAGAAAAGCCTTTTTAGACTCTCACAACTGTCATAAGCACTTAATAATAATTTAAAAAGAAGAAAAAATTAACTGCTGCATCAAACATATGTAGGTACTCTTACATAGAACAACCTGAAATAGAAAATCCTTTATAAGAATACAAGCATCTCTTTATTGACAATAAATATGAGGAAATAATTAATAGTTCTTATGCTAATAACTCATAGAAAAGCCCTAAAAACTAACTAATAAAAGAAGAACAAAACTCATCTCATTCACTAAATTATAATTACAAAAAAAGAAGAAATATAGAAAATCCTTATAAAAACTACTAATATGCATCATAAGTAAAAACTAAATAAGAAAATAAGTACTAAAGTGCTTTTTTAAAAACAGCTCAAAAATAATTGATTAAAACTAAAAATTTATAACCTAATATATGAATAAAGATTAATAAGAAAAAGTAAAATAATTAACTAAACATTGGAGTTTACATGATAATCCATTAAAAAGATGTAATATATCTAATTCTAAATATAGAGATTTATGTTAGAGTTTCGATATAGATGTTAATATTAAACCTTTATGTAAAAAAGTTATAGATGATCTTTTTTATTTTAGAATCAGTAAAAATACAATGGAAGATAATAGTAAATTTAATAATTTTTGTATGGTTATTAGATTTTTGTATGAATAATTCAACTAAATGTCGATTTATTATGCTAAAAAATAAAAATAATAATTAATGAAAAGGTATTATATTGAAATTTCGTAGTAGATATATAATTTTATTTTTATATAATGAATAGAAAGAAAAAAACTTATTTATTTATTTATATATTTTAAGAAAACAATAATTTATAAATAATTTTATATAAAGATTTATATATATATATATATATATATATATATATATATATATAATTTGTATAATTATTTTTTTATGAATTAATATAACAATTTATAAAATAAATAACTTATTTATATATATTATGTACATTTGCATTTTTTTAAAACAAATTATAAAAACAATATTTAAAATTTATATTTAGACTTTATAATATATATTTTAAAGTAATTTAATATCAATATTTATTTTTATTTTATATATATAATAAATATCCTTAATTTTTTTTTTTATAAATATTAAAATAAAAACATTTTATTAAAAATATATTTAATTTAAAATAAATTTCTATAATTTTTAATGTATAAATAAAAATCGTTTTTATAATCTATTTTATTATAGATATTAATTTATATCAATACAAAAATATGATTTTATATAATTTATACAAATGATTATATTGAGTTATTATAAAGATAAAATGACATTTTTTGATATAATTAATAACAATTTTTAACTTTATATATAGAAGTTAATAATATTAAATTTTTTATATTGATTTATTAATCAAACAAATATTTATTCATTGTTTTTTTAATAAAAAAAACAATAGAAATTATATTTATATCATATTTTTAAAAAAAGATTATAAATTAATAAAATATATATTTATGTCAAAAAAAAAATATTTTAATTGTATTTTTTTAATTTATTTTATTTTTTTAAAGTAATAATTTTATATTATTTTTTTTTTATTAGTTATATAATTTAATTAAAAACTAACGAAAATAATAATAATATATAATATAATTATACCACAAAATAATATACTTTTTTAATATCATTATAATCTTGAATTATATTTAATTTAAATAAAAAATACCTCATTTTTAATATATTTATTTAAATGGCTAAATTATATTAATAAGAAAATTAATAATACTTATACATTAAAATAGATTAATTATTTTTAGAGATTCCTTACTGTTTTTTTAAAATTTTTATTTTAAATTTTTATATATATCAAAAAGGATAAATATTTTTTATAATAAAATAATTTGATAAGATAATTATTTTATCTTATAAGAAGTATTTTGTTATATATTTAAAATTAAAAAACTATATTAATAAATATAAATATTATAATATTTATATTTAAATTTAATAATATAATACTTATAAATGTTTATATCTAAGTTAAAATACAATTTTTATAACTAAACATGCTATTAAAAAAATATTAAATTTTATTAAACTAAATCATATTAAAGTTATTAATCTAATTGATCTTAAATTATTTTAAAAATTAATTTTTTTTTATATTATAAAAAAACATTTAAAATATTTATTTTTAATAATATTTAAAATTATTATTTCTTTATATTTTTGTTTGTAATTTTTAATAAATTTATTAATCAATATAATCATAATTAAGGAAGGAAAAAATTATTGATATGTTTCTATTTATTATAAGAAATAGAAAATAATCTTTTAGTCCTAACACATAGAATTTTGTTTTTTATTTAATTAAATATTATTTAAGGAAATCTATTTATAAAATTTGTATAAAAACTTATAATAAGAAATTATTGTTTTAATATAATTAAATATTAATTTTTTATGATTTTTTCTTTATTTTTTCTATTTTTTTTATATTAAATTGTAAAAAACAATAAGTGAATACAAATGAACTTTTAAATAGATAAATCTATTAGTATTAAAACATATGATTTTTTTTTGATTAAATGAAAACTTTAAATAAAAAATTTTAAAGGTTTAATAATATTTTAATTTAATAATAAAAAAAAATTAATTTAAAATAAAAGTCAAATATTATATTAACATTAAATATATAAATAAATAAAAAAATATATATATATAAATAAATATATATATATTTATCTTATAAATATTTTATATATAAAATATAGTTCTTATAAATTTATACTAATTTTGTGTTAAAATCAATTTTATTTTGGTAATTTTATTTAATAAAAATTAATTTTATTTAAATAATAAATTTTATATATTTATATTATTATTTTAATATAACATCCTTTTTTTATGTAAAACAATATTATCTTACATATTATTTTTATATATAAATAAAAATTATATAAATTAGATTAATTATATATAAATAATAAAAAAAAATATATATAAATAAAATAAAATAAAATTAAATAAAATAAAATAAAAAAGTATATATTTTTTATTTAATTTAAAATATTGATCAAATAAAATTAAATAAGAATAATTAATATATACACACTTTTTATATTTATTTTTTAAAAAAGAATCTTATATATTAAACACTTTTTTATTTTATTTTGTTTTTTATTTGCTTATAAATGTTATATTTAATCCCTTATAAATTTATATTTTAAAAAAATTAATTAATCAAATAATTTTAAAATTATAAATAATTTATAAATATATAATTAAAAAAAAACTTTTTAAAATATAAAATAATTAATAAAGTAATAAAGTAGTTAAAATTTTATAATTTTTTTGTATTAATTTTAAATTATATAAAATATAATAAATCATTTTAACTATTTCCCCAATTTATTTTTATAAATATTCTAAAATAAATAAGATATTAAGAAAACATAATATTTGATTTATTTTCATTTTAAATAATAGATATTACATCTTAAGAAGGTTTTATAAAAATTTTAGTAACTTTTTATATTAAAAT